TTAACAATCATTGCTGAAAATCCATTACTATTGTTACTAAGTTAAAGCACACATTAGATTTACCCAGAAAATGATTTTCCAAGCAATCTTTCGATACCTTGGTATCACAGCATGTGATATAGCCATCGTAAATAATAGTTGCTTTATTTTTTATATAGAGCTAATTATACAGTCGAAATTGAACTTTGTAACGAGCAAATATAAGGACCATTCATATAAATGCTAGATTATGTGGGTCATACAACTCGGAGCGCTTTCACTTCACAGTAATACTATTTTGTTTTACATTTTGAATATTCACAACATCGTTTGCCTAAAGAATGGTTTCAATCTAAACGATTCAATGGGTTTTTAAACTTGTCTAAAATGTATTTGATTATTTTTTTTAATATCAGATAGATATAAGCAGGATAGATCGTGACTAGCAGTTGAATCCAGGTAGTGCATTTTACCCGATTTTGAACTAATCAGCTGAATGTAACTATATCTAAAAGTTGATGTTCAAACCAGGACTCGAACCCAGTACCGTTAGCGTTAAATCCCATCGAGTTATCTACTTGGCCATTGAGTGGGAATAGCTACCGACTTGTATAATAGACTGACGTTTGATTTGTTTTTTCTTGGTTGCTTGAATCTTCCCATTGATGTTGAGGACTTCAATTGATCAATCTTATTTGACATACGTGCATTCTGTGTGAACTATGTCGATATAGTCATTAAATCACAAGGATTATAAGTAGAGATGGGTGGTGGACAGCTATGGAATACAGGAAGCGTTTTTCATTCCATTTAGAACTCGTCATTTGGATGTACCTGCATGTGACGACTAGATTTTCACAAACAAACCTTTGAACATATCAACTTATGATATGCTACTTCAATACCTCATATATTTTCTTATCTGGGGCTCTAATCTGTAGTCGTACTGTAAGTATGAGCTGAAATAATAATTGGACTGACAATATCAAAGTATCTCTGCAAACATGAGGGTGAACATCTTACTTATCGCCTGTTTCGGTGAATTTATATTCAATATTTTAGCTCCCAGTCGAACTATGCCAAAACGGAATCAGCTGCTTATAATCCGAAGTGTTTTATTGACATAATAGCACAACTAATATCTATGAGTAGTACGTATATATTTGCGTAGGATTAATCGATGTAATTTATAATCGATTTTACTACTGTCCGATTCTTCTATGAATCAGATTTATAGAAAAAAGTATGAACTATACTTTACGTTGTTATCAAAAAAGTGTAACAACTCAAAATTTTGGTGGCGAATATATTCTTCCTCGTCATGTAAATGAATTCAAACTTTGAAACTCTGTGCCTTAACCAAAGTGTAATACTAAATAATCAATAAATAAAAGATTGATCAAAGGTACCTTTTATTTTGACTCACTAAGATTGTAAGCCATTACAGATCACCTTTGCTTTTCTTTCATCATTAACGAACTTGAGTGACTTTGATAACAGTTAACGTTTAATATTTTAAGTGATTTTAGACTTTATATCTGCTAAACGCACATTTCTATAAACTAACCATTTTAGGAAACACCATCAGCTATTGAATAGCTATAATATACACGGAAAGAGTTACATAATGTGATCTTAAATGACGTTTGCTATCTACACTTCCTCACACAATCAAGGATATGATGAAGGGAGTTCTGAAATAGATGTTTGTTTTGTTTATATGTATTTTTTTCTAATAAAAAGATCTGAGACTAAAAAAGAAAAATCCTAATAGAATCATCAAGCAAATGCCATAGCTTGGATCAAATTATCTTTAACATGTACCGATAAATTATATTGTTATGCATGTCAGGCATAAACATAATTCGCTCCATTAGAAAAGTGCACATCTATTCATGTACTTACTGACGCATGATATTGATCAAACGAATAACTACAGGATGGTAGGAATAGAAATTTGAAGCTGATACATCAATAATAATCGCTGATGCGTGAAATAACATAGTATAGGTAAAATAACTCTTACAAAGTAATCTTAGTAAACAACATAAATAATATGAAAGCTATGTTTGTCAAGGATAAGTATGTACTACAGTATTTTTAAGAAAAGGAATACGTTTGTAAGCCTAAAAGCTAATGAAACAATATAGAGAATTTCAATTAACAGGAAAGAATAATAGACGAGGAAGTTTTGTTTGAATACCTATCAAATTTACAAGGAAGTTATCGTAAATTGGTCAATAAAGATTTCAATCAATGTAGTAATGATGATATTTTCTTCACTGTGATACAGGTGATATTATTGAAATTGATAGTTATTTGTGAGGGAAACTTAGTAACTAAACGAAACAATGGCTTTTTTTCTAAATAACTGTTTTTTATTTATTTTTAAAGAATTCTTCTTCCCTTCTAATAGGTTCATATGAACCAACAATTTCTTCCGTTTGTTAACAATTAACTGATCATGTGATCATGTTAGATCTTTATAACCAAGGTTGATTGCCTACAAACACAGTGTCGGAATGAACTATTCATAAAATTCACAGTTGATTTATACAACAGCTTCAGTCTTACAAAAATAAATACCTCTATCACTCACCAGTGGTGGTTCTTGTTGCTCGTAGTCAACCGTAACGCCAATTTCATGTGTTATTTTATGTTCAATGATACCAACCTGACGTCTAATCAGACCTCATTGAAGTTTACCAACATTAACAGCCTAATATCAGGCCACTTTTAAATGGAACATTTTAGGTATCCGTTTAAAAAACTTTCACAATTTACATTTTATTCAAATGAAACAAAACATTAAAAGTGAATCGAACAACAAGACAGTAAAATAAACAGTCTACATTTGGTTGATGAAATATCAGGAAATGGAATAAATAAAACATACTAACGTTACATCAGTTATCTCAGTCAAGATTGAAGACGCTGAAATTGTGAATTTTCTTAAAGAATGAAAAATAACCTATTCCGAAAAATCCAAGATATTTTATTTTGCTGCTCATATTTGTTAAGCTATGCTTTTTTGATGGAACTAACACAGGAAATTAAAAGCCGCAGAATCAATGTAACATCCTGTTATAACTTGTGGCGTGTGTGCCCTATTAATGTATAACGTGATAATACCACCAATTAGAGAGCAGTGACTTATCGATCAAACCAATGACGCATAAAACCCATGCGAGCATTCTAGAGTACTTATCGGTCCTGATTTCTGCCTAGCTCATTCAGTTAATTCCAGAACACCAATCTCAACCTCTGCAGTATGAATCATTTATTTCAAGCATACTGTGTTTATATACCAAACAGATAGATCAGATCGTACCATAAAAATAGGAAAACAACATATATACAAGATTTAGCCAAATGTGGCTGTGAATAAAACAGACTGTAAACGATAGACAAGGCATAATTCAAGGATGGTAAAGCATATAACAATAGTTCATAGGTCAAAATAAAGTTCATAATAAGAGGAACATGAATATGACTAGTTTAGTTATGTAACAATTATACGATAAAAATATATGCATAGTATTGGTTCATAAATGAATCCCAAAGTTACCATTCACCATTCTTATGAGGACATAACACATAAATTAATTAATAAATTAAGTTAAAATACTCTATACCACTTCTGCTTTTTCCCCTTGAACAGTTCCAATACAGTAAATCCAACAGTATTAGTGAAAACATTTGCGATCTATTTTTCAAACAGCTGATAAACAACTGACTATTCCATTTTGAATAAAGTTCTTTTAAACCAGGATTAAGTGACATAAAAAAGAAATAAGCATATAGTGGAAAGAATTTTAAGAAAGTCATGATAATTACCCAATAACGTTTAGTGTGTGATTATATAGATTTTAAATAATATTCCGTATAATTGGTTTAATGAAATCAGAATAAAAGATAACTGAAAAGTCAGTGTTCAGAACAGTTCGTTTCACAATTAATGGGTTTAAAGAAATGAAACATTAAATATCACAAGTTAAGTCCTAGTATAAAACATTTTCTTCTCTTGTCCTATCCCATCTTTCTGATTATTTTAAGTGATAACTAATGATCAACCCATACTTCAACCACCTACTCGTCTGAGAAACTTTTTAATGGCTTATTGATAAAAATTCCCTAACAGGTGATATATTATTCAAGCAAAATTAACTAAAATCAGTAATTGCATTGTTGAAAACATGAGTAAATTAAAGCTAGACCACCAAGGAAAACCTGGAAGCACTGGACGGCCGTTTCGTCCTATTCTGTGACTCCTCATGCTTTCAACTATACAAATATTAAATCTCTACAAAAACCCCTTCTGATATAATCAGTAACACACACAAAAAATAGTATAATATAATCCATTTTGTGAATAACAATTTCTTTAAATGAGCAACCAATTAAGATTACATGATGAGAACATACTATCACATACAATCAAATTGATAACATGTACACACCCTTGAAAAATGAAGTGATTATCAATGTGATATTATTGAGGCAATTAGGTAAGACAAAGATACTATAGATAAAGCATTTATTCGACATTTCTGACAGAAACAAATTAGATAGCAACAGAACTTGTTCATCATTAAGATGAACTCAATAAAGAAATGTCTAGATAGCTTCTAAATATAACAACATTTACAAGTTTATAACTACTAAAATTACATCACTTTTCAAAAGTTTGTTCCCTAGAATCATCACGTCATATTCAACGAAAACAGATCAAATAATTTAACTTTCAAATCAGACTTTTATTGTAGATTTAAGCGATTGCTATTTTCAATTCTTATCACTTCTACATTATAAATAGAAATGATAGAGACGATTTGTAGCTTGAATGGATGATTTCTGTGTTATTAAATCCTGTAAGCTAGATTGTTTGATTGTTTTGTGCACTATTGCTTGTAAGTAGCATGGTATAATTTGTAGATGATGATGGGTGTGATTTCTTTTACTGTTTTGTTTTTTAAACTGCAAAAAATCAAACATTAATAATGTTGTCATCAATGTATTAAAGAAATTTAAAGTAACAGAAGTATGAATGGCAATTCTTCCCATTATGAACATGAAGTTAAAGACATGAAAGGCTGTAGATGTGATAATAAAGCACCTACATTGGGCGAACAGAAAAGAGGGCATATCTTAGATTTTTGAGCATGAGCTTTAGAACAAAAGAAAGAACAACTGTAAACAGTGCAATTACCAAACATCTCTTGGATACAGAACATCAGGTCGATACCTTCCAATCTTTCAAGTTGATAAATAAACAGCCAAAATCCAGTGTTCAGAAATTTGCTGAAGCCGTTGCCATCAGGCATCATAAACCTAAATAATGTGTTAGAAAAGAGGTGGTTATTAATTTTTTTTGATCAGGTGACAAATATTCCTTCGTTGCATCCTTAAACCTTTTTTTAAAACTTCTTTGTTGCATTTATTACATAACTGAGTTTTTATTCCAACTATCTTACAGATTAGTAGTCTTATTTCCTTGACTGTGATTTACTCATTTTATTCCTATAAGAGTTTACTCATTATGTAATCGGTTGTTTCAGCTGTTGTAGAATTTTCTGTTACATAAAGTAATTGTTTGCAATATTCGGTCTATTAAGTTTGTTTACACTCTTGTTATGCTATACTAATGTGTATCAACATAACTTCCAACTAAACTCTTTCATTTAAGTAATTTTAACGCATTTCGTAATTATGTTTTAAATATCATAGGTTGTAAGCAGCTGACGAGAAGCAACGAAATAAGATGACTTCATGCTATTCTGCTAGAATCTTTGTTTTTGCTCTTTTCAAAATAGTTAATAAATACGAAAATTTCAAAAAATTATGTAATAAACGAAATACAAAGTATAAAATGGAAAATTGTTTAAGCCGTGGGATGAGGTCTCATGAGCCACTCTTCCCCAAAGAGTACAGACTCTAATCACTGAAGATTCAAACTGGATATATTTTTGAGTTAAACTCCCACTGAGCCTGATCTTTTGACGGCGTAGATAATTTGAATGATATTTTTGTCATAGCAATATGTTTCCAATTAATGAGATGTCCCAGTAGTGATATCTTGATTATTCGTTTGTTTTTAAATAGTTCACCCTACAGTACTTAAAGACACACTTATAAAGCGCACGCTTTTCGGGACTAATGTAGGCTTATCCACAAAAGCAAGTAAATTTATAGATCAACATCTTTGTAGTCCAAATCAGAAACATATTAATATATCTTAAATCCAGAGGACAGCTAGCAAAGACAGGAGATGGCTGAGCGAAATCGAATGTTTTTCTCAAATATTTCACGAGTCGACTTTTTTTTAAATTTGACTGTATTAGCTACTTCAAACTCATTGTTTTTGAAGAGTTCTCTTAGTAACTATTGCCAGTTCTTTTAGGTTGGAGTTTTGCCTCCAGGTTTCTCTTAATGAATATTGAAAGGACATCTATTTCTGATTAATATACACCACAGATTTGATAATTCATGGTTGAAAGCCTGACCTAATGTTTCCAATCAATAAATGTTTCCGTTGGCTTAGTGTATTAAAGAGTTGGATCATACTTTCTTTTTCTACTATAATTATATGTAAAAGTTAATGTATCGTCGTACGGAATCGTTTTGTTAGACTCTCTTTTTATCTGCCTGTCTGTCTTTCACACACACCTTCGGCGAAATCAATCAATAACTAGTTATTGATATTTTGTAAACTTTGGTTAGTAAATAAGCATTTACATTTTGTCAGTAATTTAATTTTTAGACGCATAATCTCATTTCCAAATAAGGAGTATACAGACTCTTTTTTGTAAAATTTACATAACGTAGTCTGAATAGTTCTTAGAAAGAAAACAATGATCATTGACTTAAAATCCATGCAATCACACTGTAAATAAATAATTGAAATGAAAGGAAAATGTAACATTCATAGCTTGAATAGTAGACAAATATTGAGTTGCTTATGTTTTTTGATATGAAAGAGTTTCATTTTACGTATTATTTTTTATAATGGTTGAGAAATACCTAGTATGACCGCATGTGTTTCAGAATTTTATTTGAGTAGTGTAAATTAGATGAAACTATTAGGAGTCCTCTTGATTCCTACGGGAAACTGTATTGGCAAACCAATGGGAATACTGCGAGTTAATTTAATTTTTTATCATTCAGGGTTAGATACTGTTCTTAGTCTTTTTCTTTGTATGATTCTTCCTGTAAACAGTGATGATTTTAAAATGAGACACAATATTCTCTATGAAGTTAAAAATAGATTCATTTAGCTAAAATCGTGTTACACAAAAGCTTTCCAAAATAAAACGGGACTATTACAAAATGTTTTCTCATTACGAAATGACATCAAACAAAGAACCAGTGAGAATCATAGAGCACTGAAAATTCGTTGTATCTCAATGTTGAACTATTTAACAATACCTAACCAGAACGTTACATGATATCAAACCTAGGTTTTTTATGTCTTCAACTACAATCTATCTCACTAAAGCACTAAATAAAACTCCTCGATACATGCTGCAAAAATTAATCGCTTTTATCTATTCCTCAACAACAATTAATAAATATTGAAAGTATCTCTCACATTCAATTATTGGCAAAATATAACGGTCACAGTTGCCCAGTATTACTTCAGAAAATTCATCTCTAAATTTGCAGTTTAAGAACATTGTTGATTAATAGGCTGAACTGGAAGTAATTGATAGGCAAAAGAACAGTATAGCATTGGGATCCCCTCCTGATCCATTATTAACAGGTATTTTCATGGTCAGTCTAGAATACAATAAACGTAAAACGACTTTGGGTTTGGCTGAAAAGAAATGAAAACCGCTCAAGAAAAAGTTCAATGAACGAACAATTTGTGAACACAGATCATTCAATCAAAGAAGTCTCTGTGTTCACAGTCGTCTATAAGGTAAGTGGAAAGCTACCATAGGCAATTTAATTCCATCTTCTCAGTACTACCGAAGCACTAGCTATTAATCTGGTAAAACCATAGTTATACGTCCAGATCCTACAGGTACAACCTCTTCTTACACCATGATTCTTACACCACATTCTTATTTTCCCCTTCATACATTTCTTTTTTTACAGCCCTCTACTTCCTTTCTATATGCTCTATAGAGCTTTCACCTCCCTGCACTGGTTTATTGCTGTTTCTATGATCCTCCTGATTACAGTTCATCTCAATTTCAACTTGTTATCTTATCAAGTGGAGTCTTACCTTCCAAAATCTATTCCTTATCTATTTTCATGATGAATTTTCGAGCTCTCAACAATAAAATCATTATTAATTCCCTTGAAAACGTTTTTATGACTCAGTTTATTACACCTCACTGTTACCATGTTTAGTATAGCTCTTCGCGGAACTATTCCTTCTTATTTTAATTAAAATGTGGCACTAAACGATAACTCAATATTTTACTTGGAATATATGAAACATAATATATTTTTCCCGAAAAATATAGGATCTTATTGTTTAAACCCTGACAACTGAGTCAAACCATAACTAAACATTAGATATATATTTGAAATAATATATATTTCACCTGTAACATAGATTTTTGATATTTAAACTTAATTTCCAAACAGGTACATTGATATACAATACCATTACGAAATAAAAAGACATCTTATTGTAATCCTTGATATTTATCATAATTTTAAATACTGATGATTTTATTCTGTACAGTTCTTCTATCGTACAAAAATTAATCTAAGGATTAATTTAACTTTTTTAGTAATATTATTATCATTGAAGTTAATTGATTCCTGGTAATATAAAGAATTAACCGTTCACCAATTGTCTTCAGTGAGTTGTTATCTCAACAACAGACGTGATTGAACCCTACTGGTCACTGCTTCGTACTAGAACTCTAGGAAATATCCCTTGAAGTCAGTCACCAGTGAGCATATGATTATAGATCAGAATAGGTTTTCTGGAGATTTCAGTATTTTACTAGTTGAAATCATGAGTCAATTGAAGCAAGACCACCATGGAAAACCTGAAAGCACTGGATAGTCGTTTCGTTTTACTATGGGACTCCACACAAGTGCGCATTTACAACCCTGCCTCGCGTGAACGGTTGCTCAAACTTCGCGGATTGGTTGAAGTTAGACATTAACATCATTGGATGCCGGCTCAGTGGTCTATCGGTCAAGTTCTCTGGCGCGAGACCAGTAGGTCCTGGGTTCCAATCTCATGAGGCTGGATCATGCATGCGCACTGCTAAGGAGTCCCACAATAGAACGAAACGGCCGTCCAGTGCTTCCAGGTTTGCCATGGTGGTCTAGCTTCAATCGACTCATGATTTCAACTATGAAAATACTGAAATCTTCACAAAACCCCTTCTGATCAATAAAATGAATTATCAGACGAATTTTCAGACCAAGAAGATAATAACAGAAGTATAGGAGACTTAAAGTAGTAGACACAAAAATAAACTAGAGGTTTTGATAATATAATTATATCCCTTGTATGAGTAACATTTTTTTAATATGAGCAATCAACTAAGATTAGATGATCAGAACATACTATCACATACAATCAAATTGATAACATGTACACACCCTTAAAAAATGAAGTGATTATCAATGTGATATTATTGAGACAATTAGGTAAGAGGGGGTTTTGTGGAGAATTTAGTATTTTCACAGTTGAAATCATGAGTCAATTGAAGCTAGACCACCATCGAAAACATGGAAGCACTGGACGGCCGTTTCGTCCTATTATGGGACTCCTCAGCAGTGCGCATCCACGAACCCGCTCTCGCGAGCGAGATTCGAACCCAGGACCTACCAGTCTCGAGCCGAAGCCCTTAACCGATAGACCACTGAGCTGGCATCCAACGGTGTTAATGTCTAACTTAATAATAGGACGAAACGGCCGTCCAGTGCTTCCAGGTTTTCGATGGTGGTCTAGCTTCAATTGACTCATGATTTCAACTGTGAAAATACAATTAGGTAAGACAAAGATACTATAGATAAAGCATTTATTCGACATTTCTGACAGAAACAAATTAGATAGCAACAGAACTTGTTCATCATTAAGATGAACTCAATAAAGAAATGTCTAGATAGCTTCTAAATATAACAACATTTACAAGTTTATAACTACTAAAATTACATCACTTTTCAAAAGTTTGTTCCCTAGAATCATCACGTCATATTCAACGAAAACAGATCAAATAATTTAACTTTCAAATCAGACTTTTATTGTAGATTTAAGCGATTGCTATTTTCAATTCTTATCACTTCTACATTATAAATAGAAATGATAGAGACGATTTGTAGCTTGAATGGATGATTTCTGTGTTATTAAATCCTGTAAGCTAGATTGTTTGATTGTTTTGTGCACTATTGCTTGTAAGTAGCATGGTATAATTTGTAGATGATGATGGGTGTGATTTCTTTTATTATTTTGTCGTTTCAACGAATTTTCAGACCGACAGGATAATAGGCGAAGTATTAAAGACTTAAAGTAGCAGACACAAAACTAGGAATTTTCATTATGTGACTTAGTTTGCTGACAAATAAACATTATTTTAAAGGAGACTAGGACTGAATCAAACATTATTGAATATTAATGTTAGTGGTATATATTTCAGTTTATTTTTGGAAAAAATGAGTTTAGGTTAAGATTTATATAATTTAAATATGAAAAGATAACAAAATAGTAGGTTCAAAGGAAAATAAATCTTAGTAGAGTTATAACAAAGAAACGGATGCTGCAGATCGCTTCTTAATAAAAATCTGACTGTCGGTTATGAGTCACTAGTTCTTTTTAAATGAAAATATGTATACCGAAACCTTTAAGTTGTTTCAATTTGCGCATTTAAATTATATCAAACCACGATACTGGTTCTATAAAGTTTTCGTCAAATACGTCTTTATAGAACAGGGTTTTTTTAGATTTCCTTTATTGTTTAACAAAGTGTTTTTTAACTCACTGTAAAATGTTCCTAAAAGGGGAACTTCTTATATTGGTTGGATACCTAGTTAATAATGCCTGTGACTCTGAAACGGATTCCACCCTCACTAGGAATGCTGTTTCCATCTCGACGTCAGATATATCTTGTCGATAAGTATTAACCTGTACTAAACTTAGAATTACGGCTCCTTGCTAAGTGACTCAAACATGTCCAGTACGAAATCAAACCGATAAATAGAAAAGGTTAGATTTTGTCTCAAGTATGAACCATTTTCAACCCATAACCTACATGTAACAGCCAAAGACACTATTTCAATGAAGATGAACAAATGTTTACTATATAAGTCTTAAGATTTCACCCCACTTGTTTTCTTAAACAAAAATATTTATAAAAATCATGAACTATGAAATACAATACAATGACAATGTGTTTGTTTATATTTATGCATTTTTATCAAGTGTTAACTAAGTACCACACAATTAGAAAATGCTTAGTAAAAGTGAATGTTTAAATTATTTTAAATAAGTACACGTAAGTGTGTACACAAATTGGAAAATTAAAATCAGTACTAAATCCATGTTAAGAATGTTACTCCATCTACAGGTCTTGAATTCATCTCACTGACACAATAATCAAAATAGACTACTTGTTACTAATTAAAACTACATTCTCAAGACAAAATTGATGCATTGTAGGATGTATATAATTATAAAAGTGAATATCTGCTAAAGTTTCAATTTTTAAAAATTGAAAAAAAGCTAAAAGCTTAATAAACTACGGTAGAAAGTGTTCACAGTTTTCAATTATAGATTAGCCTGTTCATTTACACTATATTACATAAACATCGGTCATTCAACCAGTACACACGAACATATTGTTTATCTCTCTCCAAGATAATAGATAGATGTCATTTCTAATCTAGTTAAGTGTTAATATGATATTCAGTATCAGAATTGATATACAATTTATCAGCTTCACAAACACTAACAAATCATTCAAGATATGAATTAAACGCTACTCTAGAAGCAGAATACACCCATTCAAAGTAAAAAATCTATATATCTGGTTAAGAATGCAAAGATTCGATCATTCTCGAGCATTCTGCAACCTATTGGTGGGCTTTTTACTCCGTCTGGAGCCCCACTGGGGTTACTGCTGGTCCCAAGCCTGGATAAAGATGGAGGGTTGGGCATGGAATTAGCAATACCATCCCATAGAAAACTAACTCTCTAAAACACCCTAACCAGAAAAAATTATGAGTCATAATCTCAACTTAATTTCGTTAGCTAATTTTACATACTAACAATAGGAAATCTTCGATCAAAATGAGTTCAAAACTAAATGTTTTGTTAATTTTTGTTCAAACTGCCACTATAACTCATAAAACCTTAAACGTTTTAACAACCAAAGCATGCTCAGCTGTGATAAGTATTCCAAGTGATAGCTAAACTTGGTTCCTAAGCTCTTCCAGTAACCCCCAGGCTAAATCTACACAGCAACTTGAAAACGAGAAAAAAGGCGCGAAATGTGGAAGAAAACGCCTCACACCTCACAGAAAATCTAGGGTTTTTATAGTAATTTAGATAGCATTGGTTTTCCGGAAAATTCCGGAATGCTACTTAACATAGTAGTAGTATAAGTAATCATCTAAAGAGAAACTCAGCATGTGACTTGCCACTTTCTAGATGTTTCTGGCAAAACTTTTATTGAATGCTGATTGGATAAGATGCTTCTCCGTAGTTTCCGAGCTATTTCAGTCTGTTTTTTTCGGGGAGTTTTCCGTATCTCCCAGACAGACTATATGAACATTTTTTATAAAAATTTACAAGGTATCTAATTTAACTGTGATCCATCGAAAAATCTGTACCGTTGACGATATTGAATTTACATCATTCAAATCCAGTTAATTTCATTATAAAACTGATCAATGGATTTATAGTTGAAGCACGAGTCAATTAAAGCTAGACCACCATGGAAAACCTGGAAGCACTGGACGGCCGTTTCGTTCTAGTATGGGACTCCTCAACAGTGCGCATCCACGATCTCGCCTCGCGAGATTCGAACCCATAATAGAACGAAACAAGCATCCAGTGCTTCCAGGTTTTTCTTGGTGGTCTAGCTTCAATTGACTCATGCTTTCAACTATAAAAATACTAGAATCTCCACAAAACCCCTTCTGACAATTGATTTATGTTAACACTTGTAATTCATGTATGCTTGTTCAACATTTCGTTTTACCGATAGATGATTATACTACTTATTCACTACTTTCAAATTATAAAAAACAGAAGGATTAACAAAATTTCTTACAAACTTGGAATCAATTCTTATTTGTATCAATTAATCACAGACTAAATGGATATTCTATATTATTATCATCATCATTATAATGAAAACATAGTAAGAAAAAAATTTTTTAAATATAATTAGTTTATACCAACAAAAAAAACTGTTTTTTAAGGTCATGTGTACAATGGAGATACAATTGTAATTAGTACATTTTTTTGTATCATTTTAAATGTATGAAATGAATGAAATAATTTAGAGTTTATGAAATCAATAAATAAATGAACCATTTACAAAATACATAACTACAGTTTTACAACAAAAAAAATAGATACCATTACACAATTACCATGGTATGTATATACCCTTTTCTTTTCTTTAGAATATTCTTATCATTCATATTAATACTATTTGAAATAGGTAAATTTTATTAGTTTCTTATACATATATATATATATATGTATGCATTTGTATTCATCATCTCATTTATATATGGGTGGTATCATGATATACATTATACGAATAAAGGAGTAACTAAGTAAATGAATAAATGTTTTGATGTAATGCACTTTTGTGAATATATACAGTGCTCAGTTAATCAATATTCTTGTTTCTACACATTTATTCATGTGATGTACTTTTTTAAAAAAATTTCCAAATTTTTTAAAATATAAAAATGTTTTATAAAATTTTCTTTGTTAGCTTTCTTTTTAAAATTATAGTATAAAATAGAAAAACCGATAATACGTAATATGGTGTAACAAAAATTGAAATTGGCAATATTCACTTTTGCATACTATCGAAGTTATATTCATAAATGAAAAAAAAAGAGAAGAGCCTAATATAATTGTAAGTTACATCAAGTTGCTACATCAAATAAGCACAATGAGATGGAATTAACGTAATCAATAGAGGATGAGATTGAATACTTGTAATAGCAACAATAGTAAGAGTAAACACTTAACATGTAGTTAGTGAAGATAAAAGTAAAAGGTATACATGAAGGAATACTGAAACTTGAGACTTAGAGGAGGGTTAAGAGTAAATGTATCTGAACTGTTATAACTAATTATACAACTAAAGTATCCAACCTTTGTTTGAAGTAATCTCTTGAACCTCATCTAAGTACTATGGAATTATGGCAATTTGTGATATTAAAAGAGATATTAGAATAGACATATTTAAGCGATTCAAAACTATTGAATGCTTTCTCAATGGTCATAATAGCAATGAATTAGAATCTTCTGAAATGGTATTATCAAGCTAGATTTCGTTTTGTAAAATACTGGAATGGTTGAAGTAGTTTATGAACATTTATTGCTACCGAATAACTGACTGAAATTCTAACTGAACGTTTTTAGCTCAAACATCGATAAATTATGTGATGAATTAGACGTTCTTCACCATAAATTCAAAACACGAACAACAAATGTAAAAGAATATGATGACATATCGAGACACATTTATGGTAAATGAAAACTGGTGTCAGTGTTACATAATAACAAACCATGAAATTGTATAAGTTACCCTAGTAAGTTGAGTCAAGTTTAAAAAATGATCTAACATTGAAACAAAGCTTTTTTGAGATTATGAAATAAGATATAAGATATTATCTGAACCTCTATGTCTCTTTGTTCAGTTAATGAATATCTTATTTACTGTTGTTAGTAGCAAACTTCTTTCTTCCACTGTTTTAGTTTTCAACTTTACTTAATTCGCTCTATTAATTTATCAAATTTTGTTTGTTATTACGTAACTTCAACAACAATTTTCATTCTTCAGATACTTGTCTCCATGACCTATAAAATTTCTCTTCTAGACTTTTCACATCCAGTAACACATCAATATTCATCCACTTTACCATTTTATAACTCATCCATAAGTGTTGTCGATATTCTGCTAATTTTCATTAGCATGGTAAAATTTATTATTTATTATTATTATTAGCTTTATTCAATATTATATTTTTGGTACAATATAGAATTCTCAGCACAAAGTACTTCAACAAGTTTCCGTTTCTTACTTCTTCGTCCTTTCTGACGACAAATATTGGGTGATCGCCTGTTAGAAGTTAGCAGCCCAGTCAATCGACATCTGGATAATGTACATTCTTCTCGCTGCATATTGCCAGAAACCACGATATCTCTGAATAAGCCTTCTGTAATCTTTACAGCAAAAGGTCTTACACTTTTCAGAAACGCACTTGAATAGGTTGTGCGATTAATAGGCATAATGATGTATTAAAATAAACAAAATCAGATAACTTGTTGAAATATCTAGATGACAGGAACAGGTAGCCCAGATGTTTAAACAGGCCGTCACATTGGTTAAAAATAATTATTATTATAGTTTCTAGGCCGCAAGTAACTGATAAGGATGCCAAAAAATTAATTCGTCTTATTCTAATTTGTTTTTTATTCTTAATTGCGTCACGTTTGTCAATAGAAAAAATAGTATGATAGTTCTAAAAGATAGTTTTACTTACTACTAAAACGATTTAACAACCATGTCTGTTGTGAGCTAGTTACTCAATGAAGACAATGGTGAACGATCGGGTAATATCATGGATTGGTTGAAGTCATACACTGTTGGATGCTGACTCAATGGTCTAGAGGTCAAATGCTCACGAGCAAGACCTAAGGTCCTGGGTTATGGTGAAGGATCGTGGATATGCACTGCCGAGGAGTCTCGTACTAGAGCGAGATAGCCGTCCAGTACTTCCAGGTTTTCAATAGTACTCTAGCTTGAATCGACTCATGAATCCAACCGGTAAAATTACTACAATCTCCACAAACCCCCATTCTTATGAAAAAACATACTTTGTAACAACTTTAAATCAATGAAATCCCACTGTATGTTAGGATTATTCACAAGAATTTACCATCAAATTTCAAATATATATATACTTTATCTCTGAAATTTCCAAAATCATAATATCCTAAAAGTTAAGATAGTCTACTGAGGTATCGTTTAATTTCTCGGCCTTAGGTTAAAGTTACTCGACTTGATCAATATATATCATATCCAAAAAGATACTAATGACCATTTGTTAATGACTTTAACAAATTGAGTAGTTTAATACATTTCAGCATCATATGCTTTCCAATTCTAATCAGTAATCGATTTAAATAAGAGTCATACATAAAGCTACAAAACATCATAATTTCTATTGGGCGAATAAAAGGTTTAGCACATACACCTACACCCACAAGCTTTTACCATATTCACACATATATACAAATGTATCTGATTCAAACTGTTCATTATTTTGTTGCTATTTTAATTTGTATGATTTCGAGTATTTTTGAAAATTCATTAAACCATATTCAATCTGTTGATTTACAAACACAAAGCATACACATATCGAAATTCCTCAGCGATCAGTTGATTTTGGAATTCCAAAGAGATCCAGATTATGTATTTTGAAGCTTTTTTTCATACAAGCAACATCACATGACTCACAGTAAACAGAACTCACTACTGTTAACCAATCAACTACGTAGACATAGTTATTCGTCAGAACGTAAAAGAGAACATTTACATGAAATTGACATTTCACTAATTAATTCTGTTTTGTTACCGCCTTGTGAGATTTTCACGGAATCTAATGCAATCTCATTTATCGGAAAGTATCATAAGACAAAACCAGTCAAATATAAAGCATTTGTCCTTCCAGATAAAATTGTTCTGCATAACAAGAACCGCAAACTAAATACCTACCCAAAACCATGTATCATCTATTCTGAAGTGAAATACATTTTCACCTCACCAAGTATATCAACCCCTGGCTGTTTTGTATTATGCATCGATTCATGTACTGACAGACAATGTCGTTATGAGTTGTACAAAATAAAAGATCCAACATCTCACGACTTCTTTATAGACATACTAAAATGTGTTATGGGAGTTAAGACTCGAAGACATTGTAACATGATCAACAATTATTATCAACAGCGTCATTCCGTTGCATATAAGTCAAAAACTGCAAACACCGGTAGAACATCAATCTCTTCACAAGATGAATCTGAATCATTATTCAATTACGAGTCATCAAGTTCAAATATTTCATCTAGTCAATTAAAACGGAAATATAAATAAATTTAGTTTTTTTATAACATCTTGCCAATTGGATAGACTTGTATAATATAATATCAGTTTTTTACACTCAATTTGAAATACTACTTACAAACCTCTCTCTACTAAATGAATAATAAAAATACAATTATAATATAAAAGAACATTATTCTTTCTTCCTGAACACAATAAAGGAGCTTTAGTGAAGTAAACAAAATCGAACACTAATTACGCTTGAATGTAACTTTAATCAATAACTACTACCAGTTGGAGACATTTTAAAACTTAAGAACCATTTGAAAGCTTTTCTTTTCAATGACTGAAACTACTTAGCGATATTCTTAAATGAATCCAAACTAATCGAATTCAGAATCTTAAGATATTGTACAGTGTGCATAGTACCACCGAACTGTTTTATTCAAATTTAATGTTCTGTGCTTTTAATTAAAATTACCGTCACACTCTCAGTATGAATAATTTCACAGTTCATGGCTTTCAACCAAAACTACATTAAGGCCATCTAAACAAAGCTGTTAATGAAAGATGGATAGTGGCTAGCAGTGGAATCCATGAAGCGTGTTTCGTCCTATTTGGGACTCGTCAGCTGGATGTGCCTGCAGTGGCGTTTGAAGCGAGGGTACTGGGTTCGAGTCCCAGAGTGAACGTCAACTCTGAGATGCAGGTACATCCAGCTGACGAGTCCCAAATAGGACGAACCGCGCGTCTTGGATTCCACTGCTAGCCACTATCCATCTTTGTTTATCATGCTTGTGAATCAAGGCTATATCGAGGCAATACGCACAGTATGCACATATGCCAATTAGAGACTGATAAGTTGCAGTCCTAACACACCGATGAGAAGATTCAAACAAACAATGCTAAGTGAATTTAAAGCTGTTAATGGTTGCATTATCATAATTTAGATAGGCATTTTGTACACTTTGAGAATTATTATTTGTCAATGACTGAAGATGCTTTAATTAGATCGAACATTCGTCTAATGGTCGTTGGTTTTCAATAATTCCTTGTTCAATGTCAATTCAAGATAAGAGTTATTACCAAAATGTAAACAGTTTCTGGAAATTTACCTTAACAAATAATTATATTTGTCTCAAATATCCACAATTTCAGAAATTTATACACTTTCTGTAGATCAGGCCCTATGCTCATTTGCGTAATAATATTTCCCTTTAATCAAAATTGAATGAGCTCACTTCGACATTGGTCTTCACGAAACCCTAAAAATTGTAGTTTCTGTTGTTATTAACTGACGAATTCTAACAAAGACAGTTTTTGTTTAATTTCTAGCCGTCACTATTATGGTACACGTAATTAACCAACTATATTACCAAGGTATTTAAAATATAAAATCATAGTTTCGGTGGTTTTCTGTAATGTGAATAGAATCTAACTAAGTTTCTAACGACTGACAAATTTCTGCTGCTTATTACTGATTAATTGTCAGTCATAAAAACAGAATGAATGTTTACGTGTCAAGACGAAAAATATTTTTTTCTAAGTTTATAACTATTGAAATCTGGTTTAAATTTAACAAATTTTTAGGCGACAGCAGTGCGTAAAGGTCAGAAAAACCAAACAATTAAGTTGTGAAGAAAAATTGAATGTTCTTCAAAAAAAATGTATAGTTAATCAATGAACTATTTGTTATTGAAATAAGAAGTTCTTCTACGGTTATTAGTGAAGCATATAAACAAAAGAAGAAAAAACGTACCAATTTCCTTCATCAACGGTAGTGAATGTAGAAGCATAATTTGCTTTCAAAACGTACCTTTTCATATTGAAAACCTAGTAACTGGTTCATTTTTATCGGAAAGGGTTTTGTGGAGGAGGAGTTCCACAATAGGACGAAATGGCTTCCAAGTTTTCCATGGTGGTCTAGCTTCACTTGACTCATGATTTCAACTATGAAAATAGTTCATTTTCATTTTAATAACACGATTCTGATTCTGATATTCCAGAGAAAGTGATCATTTTGTGAACTTTTCAATATTAAAAAGAAACTACTCTATTGAAGTTCTATCAGCTATGTCTTTAAATAAGAAAACTGACTCATCTTTTCTTTTCCATTCTAATGTGATTAAAGAAATCTTCAGATTCATGTGTAACATTATATGACTAGTACCCCTGAATGTCGGATCATCTCTCACAAAAAATCCATGGTTCTGGTATGATGAAAGTCAGTAAACCAATTTTTATTAAATCATTCATATACAACTAAATCTTTTTACTTGCAATTTTATTATTGTTGTATTTAAAAATATGTACCAATTGCCTATATAGAGTACATATATTAGTTCCTTTAAAAGTCTATATGATTGACTATGTCTTTGGTAAACATGTATGCTGAAGAAAAAACTAGACAATCTAGCAAAATCTCCAACCTAATAATTAACATTCCTTTCGAAAATACGTGATAGATTTCTAACCGCAAATTATGGTAAAACTATAATTTATGGGTGACCTTTGAGAGACGCCAAGGTGACCCTGAAAACGTCCATTTACTAACTAGATTAAATAAGGGTAATAAACCAGGGTGAAGAATTATGATTATAATATACTGTTGATGGTCAGGACGTTCCATGTACCTATAAAGAGTGTTGCTCTGGTTGTTAGAAGGTGCATCGGTCTCGTGACTTCCGAAGAATTTCGGCTTTCATCATGAGACGTCATTATTCCTTCAACTCCCAGGGCAGAGTTTAAATGGTTTGAATTATTTTTTCTGGTTAGCGTTGTTTTAGCGAGTTAGCTTTTCTACGGGGTGGGGTCGCTAACCCCATGCCCAACCCTCCTCCTTTACCCGGGCTTGGGACCGGCAGTAACTCTAGAAGAGCTACAGGCGGAGTTTGATGGTCAGCTTAAGGAACTAGACTTAGGGTTTTCATCACGAACTGACATCAGCTAAATGTCTAAACGGTATTTAACCAAATAGATGAATGGATTTCGCGCCAAGATTCAAGACCTGTTATCTTAAAACTGATTGGTTCGTACATGAATTATAGTCTCGCCCAAATTGTTAATCTGTGTTAAATAGTTTTCATGAAAGGGTTGTTAGTCAATCACATAACTCCTAGATTATCCTAACTTATTACAAATAAACTTATAAGATGAAATAAAACTGATTGATTAGAAAAAATATTTTAATAGATTATCTAGTTAAGAATTCAAGAATTAAGGTTTTCAATTAGATAAGAGATAAGTCATTACTATTAATTTCCTGATAATATAAATTGTCTTATAAAATCTATGATTTGTACTATAAGAAAGTTATTTATACTCATAGAGAAACATTAACTGATGGTTTATTTTTTCACATTGCACCAAATTCTTCTTAGAATTAGAAAATCGTATAAACTATATTAATTAACCAAAGATGGACAGTGGCTAGCAATCGAATTCACGACGCGCGTTTCGTCCTATTTAGGACTCGTCAGCTGGATGCACCTGCATCTCAGAGTTGATGTTCACTCTGGAACTCGAACCCGGTACTGTTCGCTTCAAATGCTATCGCATTATCCTGATAGCCTCTCACTTGTGCAATGGGGTGAAGTTTAAATTCACTTGGTGTTGTTTGCTTGAATCTTCCCATAGAGTTTTAGGACTGCAATCAGTCGTAGGAAAGTTGTTAAATGAAACCTAGGACTATATTAAAACAAGTAAATAACATGGACTTAAAAATTATTTCCGAAATCATTTTGTTATTTTAAATTATCGTAAATAGAAAGATTTTATGATAAAATGTCATCAATTATTCGATGGATGTATTTAAATAAAAACCTATAAGTAAGTCAGTGGAATATTCAATTTGTTAGTACAACTTTGATTATCAAAATGAAATGAAATTCATTTAATACTGAACTTTGTTGTATAGTAGTTTAAAATATAGCTAGATTTTTCGGTGTTGTGGAAGTGGAAAAGTCAATGAAGAAGCTTTTAAATCTTGTTTATTGAATTGAGCTGAACGTTCGAATAAGACTGATACTATAAGAATTGCAATTATATCAGGAAACTCTGAACCTAGGTTCCATCCCAGGCGTGAGTTTCCAGCACGGCATTCCATAAGTCGTCAGGGAACTAATGTTCTCTGTAGGATTCAAAATTTCAACATCTAGACTTACAGTGCGAAATTCTATCACTAAACCATTTAAGGTGAGATCTATTACCTATTGGACTCAGTGATTAGTTAACATAAATGTCTTAGTCCTACAGAAAGTAAGTTGCGTCTTGAATTGCTCAGCGATGTGGTCTCAGATATGGCACATACTAGTGTTAATCGATGGAATTTAATCACTTTTATCCTTTGAAATTTGTACCAAACTTGTTGTATTCCGCACCACCTTATCATCAAATTGCTTTTTTTTTATCTTTATACATAGTTATTATGATATATAAAGTAATTAAATGTTGATTCGTATTTCGGTTAAATATATCTATAAGAATAAAAGATATCCATCATGTTCAAACCGGATAGTCTTAGATTTTTAAATATTTAATAAAAAGATCAATATGTAAATAGAAATTTATTGCGACGATATTTATCTTTTCAGCGTCATTTTTAGTAGATTAAACGACTTCTTTGGGACCTTTACACAGATTAATATTCTGTAGAGCAGGACCACATATTTTACTATAGTTTCCTTATCGATAATGTTTTATCGAACGTTAACCTAAGGGTTTCCTTTAAAACCTTTAGCTCAGAGAAAGCGACACCATAAAAATGATCCTCTTGAGCAACAAAGCCTCTTTGCAATCTATTTAAATGTTACAAAACAAACATGCTTTCGTTGTTCTAATTTGTAAAAAGATAAATGAATGGGTGGAAAGACAAACGTGAGCAATACAACTTTACAAAATAAACAAGTGGTTGACGTGGGAATTTTATCCATAGTTTGCACCAGGAAGTATTTTTTGGCTATAAAAAAGATCATTATAAGCTAGTAAATACTAAAGAACTATTTTGTTTTACTATGGGGCTTCTAGAATGTGGATAATTCAGCTTAGTAGTAAGGATAATCTTGAACATTTTACACAGTCAGAAAAATGTGATTATTTGAGTGACAACAGTGTCTGGACAGTATATTTTGTTGACATGGCTCCAACTGAAAGTCTGAAATCCAGCTTTTGTACAGAAAACAAGTATGTAGATCACTTAAGGTTGTCTTGATAAAAGCATTTTACCCTTATTATCCTTAAAAACTCTTTCTTTTCTTACACATACCCTTTGAAGAAATTAGTAATCTTTGTCAACACCTTTTATGTTACCACTTATGTTGTTCAGTTTAGTTGCATTTCCTTAATAATTTCATCACGATTAATATCAGCATTATTTTTGCTTTCAATTATCCAGAAACATAAAATCTTTGCCTGTCATAACCGAATAGGTTGTTTTGCACTTCTTGGATGCTAACGTAATATTGAACTATTATTTAAATACTTATTATCATCACAAATAATTTACAGCTGCCTTTCTTGTAACTTATTAACAATTTTATCAGCCCGTTTACCATATTGATTAAAATTTCCTGCTTCCACACAAATTAGGATTGTATCAGTAAATGCAACAGTAATCACCATGGTTAGTTGGTTGACAAGAAGTCACATGAATAAGTCCCTCTTAGTTTTTTTCTTTTTAACGATTCCTACCTGAAGTCATAACAAAACCAATGCTACACGTCAAGTTCGAAGACGATTCATATGCTGTTGAGTTTAGGGAACTTACCATTGATTTACGTGTTTATTACTTGGTGATATAAATGTAAATGAGTTAGCACTACTGGAGGTTGATTAATCCTCAACTCCCTAACTAGAATAAATCTATTCTCCGTATTACATAGAAGAATATGTGGTTACCTGGTCCCAGTTTTGAGTTATATAATAATGATTCATTTCTACCGAAAAACAGAACGCCAACTATCTGTCCATCAAATATCTACTTTTAAATTATATTATTAACAAATGAAACCTACTAACTTATCGAATAATAACAACTTCTTCCGCAAACGTTTTCATGGGATGTTTGTATCAACTGAGAGACTATATAATCTAGAACAACACAAAACTTTTGATTTTCTATACACACACTTTATCTGTATGGACTAATAATTTCATATCAGCCGACAATATTCTATTCATTGATTGCAATTAAAATATTGAAGAACTCATATATGTATTCATTTACCTAGGTTTACAAATGTATTGAATAAATTCTTACTGTATTTTACAACATATGGTATAATATCATATTTTTATACGTTTTGTACCGTAAAGTTTTAAAGCAGTGATAAGTTTTTTGACTTATCAAACATTATTTGTATGATTCATGATCTGTTCCGTACAATGTTAAAGTAGACTAAAAATTCACTTGATGTTGTTTGCGGATTGCTTCAAGTCACAAGCATTATAGGCAAAGATGTATGGTGGCTAGCTGTGGATGAAACGTGCGCCTTGGATTCGAGTGAACATCAATTCTGAGATGCAGCTATATCCAGCTGATGAGTCTCAAATAGAACGAAACGCGCGTCGTGGATTCGATTACTAGCCACTATCCTTCTTTTACTTAAAAAGATGACTATAACTTATATTTTAAGTAAAGACGCTTAGAATTATGATAACTGCTTTAAAACAAAAATAGTAAAATACCCAGAATATAAAATTAACATATGACAGACATGGATATTTGAAGATCACGTTCACAGCTATATTGAATAAACGTGTAACCAGATACTGTAACATTTTTATTGGATCCCATGACATAATTAGAAGAAACCTAGTATCCACAAAGTAGATTTCCACAAGACTGAAGAAATTATAATTGCTTGTTATAAGTCAATTTTAACTGTTTTAAGTTTAGATCTTTAAATCATATTTTTCATATACATTGTTTATTGACTAAGCCTAAAGAAATACAGAAGACAACAATCCAGCTTAGATTATCAAAATTCGAACTGTATTACATAACAATAATTTGATTAGGTATTGTTTCATAATAGATTGCAAGTAATTTTTTGACTGATCAAATAGCTCAGGAAACTATTTTAAGTATTCATTTTACAGTTTTAATAGATTGATTAATTTATTTATGCGAAAGGAAATGTTTTCCCTGAAATCGTTGATTTCTCCGCAATTCCCGTTTTTTTTAATTCAATATTGAATATAAAATGTTTTGTTTCATCCACTGTCAGTTTGTCAAAACTGATATCTTAAAATTATTTCATTCTAAACTATGCTTATCATTCAACAAGATCATTATGTTTTGAGAAGATAGATACCAACTAGTAAAATAATGTATATAACAACTGAAATCGGGATGGCCCCCAAATGCCCTGGTACTGCCGAGAGTAGGGAGAGTCACCTTTCCCTCTCGAAACGCTCTCATATGGCCACGCGAATATATAGCCTCTGTCAGGGAAGTCCTGCTCACTGCCTTCTCGTGGCACCGGTGTTGTTCACGAAAGTTAGAGGACGAAAAGTGAATGTCTGGCGCATTAACCGGGTTGGTGGATGTGGAGGATTCACCTAGGGGAGTTGGAAAACCCTCATTCCAAACCAATGCACATGGACTCCAGTATCCTGAAAGAACGAATGACGTATGAACCAACTGTTGGTCACCGGCTATCATGGGACTGCATCTCCTCACGATGCTTCACTGCCTTGCAGACTAGACCTTTAGGTCAAAGGCTCGGGGTGTGGCCCCCTAAAAAACCACCTGCTTCAGTCTGGGCACCTGGGCAGTATCACAGCCCTCACACAAATGGAATGAGATTTGTGAGGCGTATATTTATCTGGTGCTTCCTTGTACCAATATTTATGTGTTTAAATAAATAAATAAATAATAAATCGGGATTACATCTTACACACTCTTTCTTCAATAAAGAAAAATGATCAATGGTCTAGTAAGCAAATTTCCCTTCGATACTTTGATGAATGAGACTATTCAAAACAATAATATGTTATACTGCTGATCACATCCCAACTTGGTTGACAGGATCTGATCTGGAATAAGAATAATTTGATACATATGACGTTGATCACCCCTCAATTATCAATCACTTGTTAACTGTTGTTAAGTTGAAGATTAATTTATTAAATTATAATCTTATAATACAAAAAAAATATTTCCATTAAGATAAATAGCCTATTTTAATTATGTAAAAATCGTTCTGCTATTGTCTTTCAAAATTCAAGCTATGAATATCTGTTGATCATTTTAAAATTCAGCTTTCCTGTAATACTTTTGGTTACAAAATGCTATATCTAGCCTTTATTTTTTTGCTTTTAATTTTCAATATAGATCAACGTAATAAATAAATATTTACGTTACACATCAAAATGATCATGATTATTTAAAGTAGTTAGTCACCTTTATAAATTTTGACAGAGCAATAAGATTGATTTCATTTTCTTATTGTTCTATCGAGATTAGAATTATGCTTGTATATCATTCATTTAATTGTCATAACATATATTTCTCTAGACTGTTTACAAAAAATATGGGAACAATATACAAATACTTTAAAAGATATTATTCGGTTAAAGGGATAAAAATCTTCCAGAACCTTAATTCATATTCCATAAATATCAATATGAAATATAAGAAACTCGTCTTATTCTACCAAATACATTCACATATACATTTTAATTAGTCTTATTCCTTCTACATTTATTTAAAAATTAGTAAGGTTAACAAAATTTCTAAAAGTCCCTTATCTACTAAAATAAACTCTTCCTAATATTTATACTTATTCATGACAACTATATTAGATCATCTTATTTTGTGATCATAATTCAATTTATCAGAAATACTATTTGTTTGTTATAATTATAAGAGTAAATAACAGTGTATAACCATAATGTATAATAATTTCCACCAAAAAAACAAACGAACAAAAAACAAAACAGACATAACAACCAAGTAGGAGTATTCAGTATAGTTTAAAGTTTCTTGCTTATTTCACTTGAATCATTCCAAACTGGGTTTTTTTTAATGAACAAACTATTACAATTAATACCAGAAAAATTATATTCACATCATTATGAATTTTAAACATGAACTATTGGTCAAAACAAATAGAAAGAGGAAAGTACTACTAATAATAATACTATATTACTTATAACAGAAATCAACTCTTTAATATATATATATATATATATATATATATATATATATATTTCAATAACTTCTATTCATAAGGTATAAACTAATACTAAAAATGGTTTGATAAACAAATAAAGAAAAAAAGAAAAACAAGAAATATTACAATAATAGTAATAGTAATAATAATAATAATACTTTCATTATGTTAATTTGCTGAATGTAAAACTATTCTATTGTCCATTCAATGTTTTTCTTGTAAAATATTTATGTATGTAATTAATAATTAAAGCAAAATTTCATTACCTTTTATTAGATTTTATTCAAGTTTTGAATAAAGAAATAATAAAATAAAAGTTATACTTAGAAAATAATATAGTTATTCTTTCTTTTTTGGTAAACAAAATCTTATTTCTTTGACTTTCTTCTCCTGTTTTTGTTGTTGTCGGAGGTGTATATAATTACTGATTATGCTTCATTTACCAAATGTGTCATGTCAGGCTGTGATGGATGTCTAACCATAAACATATAAATTGGTCCAACTTCATTAATTTGTGGACCATGAACAGGATCATAATCGAAATAAGTTGTATTTGTAGTGATATCATTTGGATCCGACACGTAAGCGGAAGTATTAACTGTATTGATTGGTGTAACTACTAATGGTTTAATCATACTATCACGACTCATTGGGGTATGAACAGGTGATCGATAAGAAAGTAATGGTGATCGAACTGGTGAATCTGTTGATAGTTGTATTGGTGATTCATTATGTAATTTTGGTGTAGCCCAACCATCATTTAAACTATTTGACAATGAACGATTCAATAGATTCTTATTTGTAACATCTGAACTTATCTGAGTGTCAATGTATGACATAGATTGTGCCTTTAATGGTGACTCAACTGATGGTATATCACGTTCCGTCTTGTCAAACTTTTTAGATGCATTATAAATTACTTCACATAAGCGTTGAGTATCACTAGGATCTTTACATTTGTATGTTTCACAATAACTTGAATATGGATATTCAGATTTCACTGATAACATAAACATATCTGGATATTCTTGACACATAAAAAAGTGCTCTATATCTTTATACATTACATGATCACGAAATACTGTTTTAGCAACAAAATTCTTCTTTCGTAAAATAATTCGATCTTCTAAACATGTAAAACGAACTTGATGACTTGCACGTTTATTCATATGTGAAATAAATAAACCACTTAGTTTATTTCTTTCATTTACTTCTACGGTGTTCACTAAACTTCTATCAAGTGCACATACAACACATCGATAAATAATTTTTTGATTTGTTTTTGGATCAAATTGTTGTTGTTGAAGTGAACTATCCGATTTAGCAGTACGTAAAGTTTGATTTTTATTTGAACGACCAAGTGGCATAATGATATAATTCAATAGTTAATTTGAATATGTATATGTAATTCTGTTTGTTTTTAGATGGTGAAAAATCAGCTAAATGAGAATTTATTATTGTGTACACAGGACTGTACAACACAGTATGAGATTAGAACAAAGTAAAGTAAATGATAATTAAGAATGTTCAGTTAGTTATTTTAATTTAGTTTTTTATATAAGAACCACATCGATTTTTGGTCGTTTTTCTAGTTATATTTAATACAATAGTGTATGTGTGATGTAATTTAATCACGTTGATTAGCTGAAAAACACTGGACAGAAGACAGATACACAGTCTGTAAAAGAGAGTGATAGAGAAACATAGTGAGACACTTGCAATATCATCATATGGGGGGTAGATAAATCATAGTTGTATTTACCGGCCATATTGATTACATACATGATAAGATATTAGATAGTTTTTATTATAGGTTTATATGTACACTAATAATGTAAAACATTTTATAAACGGAGTTTTTTTTGGTATGATTAAAGTTAATTAACTTGTTAACAAGTCTACTTTCGTGATGAATGAAATTGAATTGTCTCTGAGTATTTAGTAATAAAGTATATTTATTATGTTATGTATTACCTCGTGATTGGAATCGAAGAGTGAATTTGATAAATCTCTGTTTAAAATATATGCTCGATGGATGGACATCTTCATATTATCAGTAGGTACAATTTTTAGTAAATTTTGTACTTTGACTAGAGTAGCGATCTAGGTTATAGGTTCCAACCTACCTCGAACTTGTCAGCATACATGATAACAATCCTTGATTGGACGTAGTTCAACAACAGTACAAATGAAGCTGACTATGGTTAGTTTAAATAAATGAATAAACTATATTGAGATGATGGAGATTTGCAGCTGAGTTAGAAATTCTACTTGATGTTTGTGCGGTTGATATCGTTCGGAAGAACAATTAAAGCTCTACGACCAAACAATTTAACTCAGAGAACAAAACTTCAACAAAATAGATTATTCTCTGGAAATAATTATTTATTTTATTTATCATAAGAACAGATATGATAGTGCATTCAATAAATTTTGTTGACAAACTCTAGGAATCTACTACATGAATACCATATACGGGTAATTAGAACTTCAGTAGTCAAAGTGATTTTTCGTTTGAAAGAATTCGCTCACTGATTAATTAATTCTTTTTTTGAGGACAATACAGTTAAAAGGTTTAAACAGATTCTAAAGTTTTATCTCCCATTGATCTTTCTCAAAGCTAACATAATATGTTATACTTGCATTCCAAACCTTCTAAAGCATCTTATATTTACTTGGTTCTAAAGATAGTTGTGAAGATTGTCAACCTCTGTTTTAACCTCTTTACATTTATCAACCATGGAGTATGTATGGTATTCAAATAACTAGTTTCTTTATTGAAAACTTATCTGTCTGACTCGAACCCATGTAGAAATGTTTTGGAAGTTTTGCTCAAGTTTGGCTGATAAATGACTTTTGACAGTTATTGTTTCTTAAATATATGAATAATACTATTCGTAAGCTGGATTTACTGAATACGCCGCTTGTTAATGCCAAACTCATTTGTAAAATTATTAAGATGTTACTTAAGTTAACATCAATTGGTCATCGTGTGTTATAATATCATTCTAAGTGACAAGAATTATCAATATTTTACATTCTCTTAGTATATTATCATTGAGATAATCAAAAGTGTTTCCCCCTAAAAATCCTTCATATGTACTTACTTGTAGTAATATTTAAGGTGGTTGACATATAAATACAAAACAATTAATTTAACACATCTACATTTTTTTTATAAAATCATTATTCATTAATGTAATCTCTTATTTGATTCGTATTTATTATTTCAACATAAAGGGAAAATCTTCCATAACCTACCAGTTTTTCGAAGGAATCACTTTAGTTCTATGCAAGGTAAGAAGAAAACTAAATACGATTGAATTTCTATGCAACATTTATGTTAAATCACATTTTTATTGATCACAATGTTATTTAACCTAGTCAGGTCATTGAATTTTAACATTAAAGCCAATATTTTGATAAAACTTAGATATCCATTGTGGGATGTATGATAATTTATTTCTTATCATGTTTTTAAATAACATGGTGTACTTTAATTTCTTAAGCCAGTTATAGTTATGGTTTTATAAAATATAGATTTTTGAAATCATTCAGTGTGTGTACCAATGTTTGTATTATGATAACTATTATAGTCATTTCATAAAACTTCAAATATTTTATTGTTTTACAAGATACTTCAATAAAGAGCTAATAGATTAGAAGTAAATAGACTATAATTTCTTAGTATTTCTGAAATTTACAAAGAATTAAGTGGAATCATGCTCCCAATCACATACTATTTATCTATGAACTATTATAGTTTTACATACCATATATTCATAATTGATATATTATTTGATCAGGCACTTGTCAGTAGAATTATTTATCAAATTGCATTATAAACAAAAGATTTTATAGTTAGCAGAGATGGATAGTGGCTAACAGTGGAATCCAGGACGCGCGTTTCGTCCTATTTGGGACTCGTCAGCTGGATGTACCTGCATGTCTCAGAGTGAACATCAACTCTGAGATGCAGGTACATCCAGCTGACGAGTCACAAATAGGACGAAACGCGCGTCCTGGATTCCACTGCTAGCCACTATCCATCTCTGCTAACCATGCTTCTGAATTAAGGCAATGTGCACAGTATGCACATATGCCAATTACAGACTGACCAGTTGCAGTCCTAACAAATCGATGGAAAGATTCAAACAAACAATACTAAGTTGAATTTAAAGATTTTATAGATTGAAAGTTTGTGCTGATGATGTCGTTCAGAAGGACGATAAAAGCTCCACGACCAAACCATTCAGCTCAGAGAACAAAACTCCATCGAAAGTGTTTTTCGCTTTAAGCTTTAATATTGTTATTAGTTACAAATTGGTGACAAGATCAATATGACAGCGTTGCAAGTAAGGTTGTTTTTCTAAATTATTAATTCAAAGTATAATCCAAAGACATTCTTGAACTAATGGAATCCTATAAAATAAATGGCTTCCACGATAGATTTATAAAAATATCATTAAAATAAATCTAAATATCAAAATGAATATAAAAGCTAAACATGACGACGAGGAAATAGGGCTATTTTGAAAATTCTTTATTTTTTGAATAAAAGTTAACGTGATAGTAAAGGTAAATCAAATGAAATTCCCTTACTTCACAAGAATAAAACATGTAATTATAAACAGATATGAATGATGGCTAACAGTGGAGTCCAGGATGCATAATCTGTTTTATTTTCAACTTATCAGCTGGATGTGACTGTACCTCAGGGTTGGTATTCACCCTGAGACTTGAACTCCTCACCATTCGTTTCAAATGTCATCGTGTTAACAGCTTAGCTGCTGAATCCAAATAAGCACTGGCTTGTGAAATACAAATGAATGGTTGTATGTTATTCTGAGACTCCTCATTCTGTGACAACGTCCAAAAGGTAGTTGAAACAAAATATAAATAGAAAAGGTATCATCAGCTAGACAATTTGCTTACGTCTATTGTTCTATACATTTTAGATGCTAAAAAAATTAGGTGAAATGTTTGTCACCTTGATCTACACCAGTTCATTTTGAAGAATATAATTAGAAATAAATCGTGATCTGGAAAGTAAATAAAGACTCTTACCAAAATAATGAGTCAAACACATTTAATCAAGTAAAGAAAGAACTTTTAGTAATAAAATATTTCCATTAAACATTTTTAGATTTTATAGGTGGTATCAGGGTATGCGCTTCTTATGCAGATAGATATAAGTAGTATGTAGCAGGAATAGGAAATGGAATGTTTACCAACAACAGATTGAAATGAGAAGAAGAGGAAGGAAAACAGAGAGCGATCAAAACAAAGAATTACAAGAATAATGGAGTATGTAAAGGACAACTGAAGGGAGATGTGCAAATGATGTGTTTTATGTGTGATTTTCATATCTTACAAAGACACTGTACAATTTTTATTCAACAATAAGTTGGTTTATTGTACCTTGGTTTTCGTTCACTACTGTATCATCAATGAGATTTTGATACAGAGAATAAAAAGGCTATGAAAGAAAAGCTTACTGAAGCCCCATGTTATAACTTGGTTTATATTCATAAAGACGGTTAGTTGGAGAATTTGTCAACTTAACTTCTGAAGAAGAATCAATTCCATTTTTGATATAATCAAGCAAGCCTGCTTATCGAATTTCTAAACATTATGCTTTATGATAATACCAATCAGAAGTTATGTATGTCAGTTTGATAAACACTGAAAAGTGAGTTAACTTAAATAAAGCGTACTAAATTGTTTTTCATATAATATTTACTTTGTCATACCCTTTACATATAGATTGATTACACTGAATTAAAATGATACTTTGAATTTGAAAGAGTTATTTATTATTATATTCATTAAATAAGACTTTATTGTGGCCTAGATACTAATTTCATTTAATCACGTTCAATAGTTCATAGTTTAATATCTCAATCAATACACTTCCTTACATAACTATTTTCAACCTTCATCTCTTCATTGTAAAAAATAATGTTAAGCCAATTAACTAGACAATTTTTTTGTTTATTGATCAATTCAGTTAAACATTAAATTGTTTGAGAATGAAGTCGTTTCCAACTTTTAAATTATTACAGAATTGTACACTTTCTTTATTTGCTTAGTAAATTGTGTATTCTAGTATGTTCCAGTGGGAAGCAGTGACCAGTGGAGTTCAACCACGTCTGTTGTGAGATAACAACTCACTGGAGACAATTGGTGAACGGTTGCTCAAACTTCGTGGATCGGTTGAAGTTAGACATTAACACCGTTGGATGCCGGCTCAGTGGTCTATTGGTTAAGTGCACTGACGCAAGGCTGGTAGGTCCTGGGTTCGAATCTCGCGAGGCGGAATCGTGGATGAGTACTGCTGAGGAGTCCCATAATCGGACGAAACGGCCATCCAGTGCTCCCAGGTTTTTCATGGTGATCTAGCTTCAATTGATTCATGGTTTCAAATATAAAATTACTGAAATCTCCACAAAAAACCCTTTCTGATAATTTTAAAAAATATTTTACATGAAAATATTTTCGATAGTGTAATAAGAAGACGAAGATTATCAGAGCTATGTTATATATTAGCGCAATACATTTCGAACAATTTGATCTCACATATGCTTGTTAAAAACATTTTTATATAAAAATGAAAGGTCAACTAGACTGGAAATGGGGGAGTAAGAATAGAAAAGGATAATAATAATAATAATAATAATAATAATAATAATAATAATAATAATGTGAAAACAATTTGAAACCTAATCACTCTGGGTAATAAGCTAATATTACCAGGGTAGATTTAAGGTTAGAACAAACTGTTTTTTGAATACACAAAGGGGGTTTGAATTTTCGTATGGCTACGGCTTCAATAGTTCTTATAAACTTCGTCTTCTTATTGCACTATCGAAATTTATCAAAGGGACTAATTGCTTGAAAATATTTTCATTTGAATAAAATATTCTACTGTAAGTATACTATCTTGTAATTGTATATTACTTTCTTCAAGAGATCCGAAAAATTTAAAGCGAATAATCAATCTGTGAAAATACTAATTTAATTGTCTTAATATCTTTACACCTACGCATATTACAAAATGTTAAAATAATGTAAACACATATGGTAGTTTAATTCATTTTATTTGGCATGTTAAACGTTGATCTATGATTTTATATCCCTGGGCAAATCTGTTCTTTTCTGCACAAACGAAAAACCTGGCTAAGGTATGTCGTTGTTGAGACCAGTTTCATCATTGAATCAGCTTGAAAAATTTGCCTTTCGGGCTTAAAAGACACAAATTTTTCTGAGTGCTGGTCAAATTCTGTTGATCAAGTTGCAATCTGGCCACTGGTCTATGTGTACACGTGTCTATGTATACACAATATTTAAATGTAAGGTAGCAGTTGAAGAGAGATGACAGGAAACCCTAGACCTAGGTCGCGTTTCATTTAGCACGTGTCAACAAGGGGACACGTGCACACTGGTAGATTCGATCCTATATCACGCAGATTCACAATCAAAGGCACTATTAGTGAACATCAGTTTCCTCAGCACTACAGTTACATCTTGATGATGAGTGCTAAACAGAACAAAACTTAAGTTCTGGATTTCGTGTTGACTACCTAGTTAAATTGTGGTATGTGCTACTGATGTCGACAAATATAAGTAGTATGTATCATCAAACCAAAGTGAAATGGCTGGAGGCAAAAGGTTAAGAAGATCAAAGAAAAGAGAACGAATATAAAAAATGTTTGGTGTAGAAACGAAAAAAACAATAAAGTTTGAGACGATTGACTGACATTTGCAAAATGAACGGGTCAAGTTTGAGATAACTGATTGGCATTTTGAAAATGAAGTATTTATTGTATGGTTATCAGATATTACTAAGATTTTCTGTAATTTTGCGTTCAAATGTATTACACTGTTTCCATTTGTGTCCTAGTTCACAACAAAATCACTTTCACAATATCCAAATTATTAGTAAAAAAATGTACCGGATATTTGGTAGTTGCTTTTTCAGTAGTCAGTCTGAAACGTGGTAGGATTTTGAACAGTCCAGGACTTTTAGACGTAATTACCGAAATTTCTTTGTGCCAATTCTGAGATTGAATGATTATGACCTAGATAGTGATAGAAAAAAGTAATATATTTATAAAATTACTGAACTAACACATTTTTTTCTATTGTCAATAAACGTGTAAATATTTGAAAGTAGTATAGAAACACTAATCATTAAGCGTATGTACTATTTTATGTTGTGCATGGGTTATAATTATTTCTATGTCATAATTTTAATGACCTACAGATATACAAGAAGTTTTTTTATATACAGAAAAATAAACCGCTTTCAAGATATAAAATATTTCTATTTATTTTATTTCTGGCCTTGTAGCCTACTAATATATACAATAATGATGCCGCCAATTAAAGAACAGTGAATTACCGATAGGACCAATGACATCCGAAACCCGTATGAGTAGTCTAAAGTCTTCATTGATCCTTATCCCTGCCTAGCCATGCCTGTTGAAAGTCTAGAACACCAATCTCGGCCTCCTCAGTATGAATCATCTACCTCAAACATATTGGGTTTATATACAAATCAAACAGACAACATCATATCGTAAAATAAAAATAACATTTGTACAATATCTAACCAAAAGTGGCTGTGAATGTGGGAGACTGTAATTAATAAACTTGGCATAACCCAAAAACGGTAAATCGTATAATAATAGTTTATGAGTCAAAATAAAGCTTTCAATAAGAGGAACATGAATATTCATAGTTTAGCTAATTAATAAGATATCAACACACTGATGACATTGTGAATGGTTTCTTGATTTCGTGGATCGGTTGAAGTTAGACATTAACACCGGCTCAGTAATCTATCGGTTAAGTGCTATGGCGTGAAACTGATAGGTCCTGGGTTCTAATTTCGCAAGTGCGGGATCGTGGATGCCCACTGCTGAGGAGTCCCATAATAGGACAAAATGGCCGTTCAGTCCTTCCAGGTTTTCCATGGTGGTCTAGCTTCAATTAACTCATGATCTCAACTCTATAATAATTATACAATAGAAATATATGTACCGTATTGGTTCATAAATAGTTCTCAAAAGTTATCATTTATAATTCTCATCGGGATATAACAAAATGGATCAGATTTTATCTAATATTCTATGTAGAAATTACATATAGATTTTCGAGACTTAAGGAACTTCCAATTATTTTATGCTACCTTTCAGAGAAAAATCTTCTTGCTCTAAATACCAATCTAGTATATCATGTTACCAAATTGTCAAATAAAATATTTTGTATGCATTTACTACCCTGGAAAATATCTGCTAATAGTCTCTATTCAATGTTGATTTTCTTAAAATAATGTCTGTATTTAGGTTAAAATGAATGAAAAGTAATAGTAATATTACTATCATAGAATCCAAATAACATAAAGTAATTTTAGAATTTCAATTAAGCTTTAATACTATACTAAATCATGATAAAATTCCTTTATTTAAATCCGAATACTTTATGACTTTATAATTTGGTGTAACATATTTAAGATTCAAATAGTATTTATTAATATAAGCTGTTCAATTCTGTAGGGCCAGTGAAATGTCACTGAACCCTAGTCAAATCATCCGGCAGTTAAGTCACCAAATATCGAACAGATCATCGATCCCCATCAGGGTCAAGGACAATCAACGTGCATCAGTTAATCATACGCCATGTACTGGCCCATGCGGCAGTGGTTCTACTTTCGTTTGTATCTACTTTAACTAATATATTCCTGTAATAACGTCCTTTGTGTTGTACAGTCTTCAGAGCATCCACGTAAGGTGTTAATCGCGAGGTGTGACTTCGAGGTTAGCTTGTTCGTTACACCGTTCCCGTCTAACTCGAGTAGGCATCCAATCATTCGGCATAGATCATCAACGTTGATAGTCTACAATTCTTTTACTGGAAGATTAGAGTATGTTACACAATTATCACAATAACTAGTCAACACTCTTAATATACTCAATGTAAAATTGATTCTCTATTGAAACTTTACTATGAAAGTCATTAATTTTGGCGAGAACCTATTTACTTTGAATTCACATGATAGACTATGATATATCATTAGTATATAACAGTTCATCACAGTAGTCAAGAGATATGCGAGATTTGAGACGCTAAACCGAATTTTCTCTTTTTTACTAGGACATATGTTATATTTTTGCTATGAAAAATATTATTCCTGAAAATTGTTCATTCGATAATGCATCGACATATATTGACTAATTATAGAGCTTTGATATGTTCCGTTGTTTGACATATTAAGTCCGATTGAGTTGATGTTAACTATAATGTTTCCGATTCAATCTAATCATTCTTTTTAATGAATAATAAAGCTTTATGCAGAAGCGTTATCAAAAGGAAGTGACAAAATACAAAGTGAATGGAAAAATATGTCGAATGTTTTTTTGGTACCGAACGCTTAGACTAAGCGCATCCTATAATGAAAGAATTAGAAATCATTCATATTTTGTGCATCAAAACTCGTTATTATTCACTTGAAATGACAATCAAATTGAATTCACTTTATTGGAGATAATTTAATTTTCCAATGATAAAATGTGTACACGTAATTAAAATGGCGAATGCTAATCAACTGCTTCATATTTTTCTGTATGTTCCTAATGTAACGTATAATTTTTTGTTTATTTGGTTTTAACTCATTTCGCCCGTGCTCATCATTGTAACTTGTGCATTCACTCCTCTATCCCTCAAAAGTCTTTACATTCTATCTTTACTCGATCCAGTTCTGTGGGTGGAAATTCCTTACTTGTACCTGCAGTTAAAGCCATTGACTAGCCATTATGTCTCCCACAAAAACAAAGATTTGTGTTACAGTAGAACTGAAGACATTTGGCTGATTAAAAACTTTTATATAGAATATTAATAATTTCGCTGTTTTTGGATGCATTTGTTTTGCTCAACTTCTGAACTTGTTTGTTTATATCTTTATCTTCTGACATTTTGGTTTCTCTTTGTCTTCATTTGGTATTTGAAAGCTTTTGCTCCTACAACCTAAAAAATTGAAGGTTTGTTTTGTAATTGTTATGATTATTGTTAGAATGACATTCAGGTCGATTATTTGTAATTTGCCAATACACTTTGGTGCCTGAATTGGTGTTTGCTTCTACTGTTATTTCGGGTCCGTAAGTTACAAGTAGATTGACATACCGTGCTTAATAACATAAGAGAGCAATAACTTCAATGTAACACTTAGTTCGATTTCGCCATACGACGTCCTACGAGACAAAGCTATCACAAACGAATGACCAACTACCAAAAACTGTGAGACTAGGTGACTGAATGCCGTCTCAATCGAAATGGCACATGACTAGCATACTGGGCAGCAGACGAGTTGATGAACTATTATTTTACCAGCCAATTCTTCAGTGCATGTCACAAAAGGTGTATAGCTGTAAATAATTCACCAAAATCAATAGCTTTTTAAGTGTTCGACATTGGATGCAGACCACATTAATTTTAGTGGACTTGTTTAGCTGATGGCGCATGGTCATGCATCCGCACCAGATCACGTTACAACACAGCGTGTGAAACATCTCCTACGATCACTAGCCAGATTAGATCAATCGCTCCTCCAAATATTGATAACGTATCAAATATATCTTCCAACCTTTTCGCTTCTGACTTCTGATTTTAACTGGTTGGGCACGATTCGATTATAGAAGGTGTTACTGGTTAATAGTTGTCAAACTACAATAATAGTGGTATCTTCAGATGCAAAAGATACTAGTAATCAGTGGTGGTAATTTAGATACTGAGAAACTGGCAGAAGTTTGTAGTATCAGTTTATATGTTAAGCCCATATACTTTATTCTAGTTGCTGGCCAAGCCAATTCGCCTATCCATTATGAGTCATATTTTGATCTTGTTAATCATTTGCTTATTAACATTGACTATACTTTTATATGAGCATATATGTGCACACTTCGTATCCTATTCATCATATGTCTGTCATTCACTTTTGCCTGATTGTAAATATTGAGTAATGCTTGCTCATATCGAGTTGGCTTCCCAGCCATCTCCACTATGCGTCATCTTTCCTTTGCTTGCTTACATTTGCTAATGTGCTCACTGCCTTCTAGCCCATGTTATTTATCAATAAAAATGTAGTTGCTGCTTCCCTTTGTCTTCTGATATTATACACCGTTCAGATTGTTATAATAACGGTTATCAAGACGATCGATTAACGAAGCACTACACTACAAGTTGTTCAATAAACATAACAATGCATAAAAAACATATCGGCACTGCTAGTCATGCGAAAGGACTAGCCCACAGACCCAAAGAAAACAATTAGCACTTAAGGTGAAGAGGTGGTTCAGGTGGGATTAAAAACAGCTATAGGTGAACGCTTTATAGATAGATGTAGAAGTAGGTCAGGGAGTTGATTAGGTACCAGATGTCTCAATATATTCTGTATTATCATAAAGTCAGTACACAAATCGTGGGGTGAAAAAAACTATATCATTTTGGTGCACAAATCATGAAAACGGAAGCGCTGCAGTATCGCCTGATTTCACAGACCATAGCCCACAAAGTAGTTGTCTCCAGTGAGTTACAGACGAGAAGACCAGGACATAATTTCTGATTGAAACAGGAGTATAACTTGCTATGAAACCACGCACACACAAGGTAAACCTAACCATGACCCTAAAATTGCATTCAATGTCTACAATCGGCTTTGCATAAACAAATATGACAAGCAAGAGATACTACTAAACCCTAGAAACAGGCCTGTACTTTTGTGAAGCTTTACCATAGCTGACGTCTCGGTACCAATAACTGTGAGTGATTTTTCGAAACTTTACAAACTAGTAGTAGATACCAGAAACCGTGAGCATATTTATAACAACCGCGATGTCAACATAAATGTAGCTATATGCACAGACATATCTATGCATTTATTATCTAAGGCACAACTTGATGTGAACCAATTTACAGAATCTCTCATTCCGCTACAACCAACATATAAGTCTGAAAATCTAAAATACAGTGTGGTAAATTTAATTACAACCAAACAATCATCTAAGGTTATGCTTCCCAGATATTTCGACTCTACGACTCTCGCTGTTATCAAAGATAAATGTAACAAGGTAAAAACCTAGGCATCACATGCTCTTTCAACAGACTTTTAACATTTCATTGAATAAGTACTACACAATATTAAATTAATCCACTCTTACGTAGACAATTTACTCAGTGCCAGAAAAAAATTAGACGGATAGTTTCGTTCACCTGACAAAAGTTTTCTAAAGGCTCAAGAAGTACGACATTGTAATAAATCCTGCCTAATGCGAGTTCGGTTCATGTAATCGATATATTATGTATTAAACCCATTCCCGATGATGTATGAATCATCGGTGACTGTCCAGATTTATTTGAAAATTTCAGGCATTCCTTGAGAAGGACTAAACTTTACCCCTATCCTTTACCAAAATATTCTGAAATGACCAAACCTCTGAACAGCTTGTTGAAAAGATTCTCTTTAACGTTATTCATAGCAACTTGAAAGTACTGTGGCTGCAAATAAATCCTCAAAGTCAATAGCTCTGTAAATGTTCGACATTAAAAGCTGACCACATTAGTTTTAGTGGACTCACTTAGCCGAAGGCGCTCGGTTATGCGTTCCCACCAGATCACGAGTTGGAACGGCGTACTCAACGTACACTGCGATCACTAGCCAGTTTAGATCAGTCACTCCTCGATGTATTGATAACCCATCAAATATAACCTCCAACCTCCTTGCTTCTGACTTTTGATTTTACTGGGTGAGCGCGATTCAATTATACAAGGTGTCATTGGTAAAGTGTTGTCGAACTACAATACCCGTGCTATCTTCAGTACATTGGTGTATTCACAACACTTATGTATAAATAGCGGGTTAGAAGACCATACCAGTTCAGCAAAATATTACAACACCGTCAGCTCCTTTCATTCAGTGTGATGTCACAATAATTCAGTAAAAATTCAAGTTATGGTGAATCAGAAATTTCGAAAATCTTAAGGAAAACCTTAGAAGTAATATGTTCACTATATCTGTATGACGAAAGTTGAAGCTATTATGGAGTCTGTGATATGTGACTGTATACACGACTATTTATTATCCTTAAACTTCTTTCAATCTCAACAGCACAGTTTCAGAAAAGGCCACTCCCGTATAACCAAACTGCTGACCGCGGTGGGCATACAGACAGCCATCCTTGACCACATGGGTAAGGTTGACGTCATTTATTTTGACTTATCAAAAGCTCTTGATAGGATCAACCACATATGTCTCATCAATAAGCTCAAACGTCTAGGTGTAAAATCACCTCTGCTTCATTGGCTTGTCTCACATTTCAGGCTATGGAATGTCCTAGCAAGGTCCTCCAGGGTTCAGTGATAGGACCTTCTCTTTTCTTGATTTATATAAACGATCTGTCACAGCAGGTATCGACTGATTTACTAGTTATCCGATCAATTTTGAAGTCAGATCCTCCTGAACTGCCGGTATATTCTCTTGCATATTTCTCCAGAGTTTCACATCATCAGCAAAAAGTAATAAGTCAGACGATACACTTCAAAGTGTAAAATAGTCCATCCGAGACATGTTGCAGACTAGCGTTAAAACTTTGGCAACTCCTCTCTAAAAGTATTCCTAGTTTAAAAAGATTTAGTAGCGCTGGTACCCTACGATTTGAAGTCTCACACTAACTGTGAAAAAAACACCCTCCGAAAAAATTTTTCCCTGGTAACTTGGAAGCGCATTTTCGGTCACTTTGACTGTACAACTCTCCACATAATCTTGAGCAGTGTCATTCGTCCCCGTTTAGAGTACTGAAACATAATATTTCTTCGCTCACTCCAAAAGGATAAGGACACACTGGAACGTATTCAACGACGGAACACGAAATCAGTTCATGGAGTTAGATTCAAGCCTTATGAAGAGCGCCTCCGATCACTGAACCTTTACCCGTTTGTGTACAGGCGTCGTAGAGGTGACCTAATAGCTTTCAGCATTCTAAAGACTTCAAGACATCCCATCAAACACTTACCTAGGTTTAGCTCCAACACAAATGTAAGGGTTAACACCTAGAAACTGGAGTCGCAACACAGCAGAATGGATTGTAGACACATCCTGCCCCTTAAAAATAGTCAAATGTTGGAATTCGCTTCCGACTGAGCTGGTCCAAACGAATTCCCAGGAGTTCTTTGGGAGGACACTTGACCTATTCTTAAGAACTAAGGATAACACTTTCTTACGATTGAACAATTTCCTCTTTCCTCTTTTGTCGTTAATACACCTTGGTTCCTGCCTGAAGGTTTCGGTGATCCTGTGCTACTAAATACGAGATCCCGTCAAGCGAAAGCTTCTTATACTCTTTCCATCTGTATTAGAAGTGATAGAGTTATAAGTGTCAAGGGAGAAGGCATAATGTTATATGTTAGGAATAACTTTTGCACACAATCGATCGTGTTGGAGGCGCATGTTAGTGGTAGCATGTTGTAAAATTAGGTCTAAAAACGAGTTAGTAACTATAGGAGGAATAATATCGTAGTCCGTGTTGTCTTATCTTAACACACATCTGTTCTTGGAGTAAGGCATCATTATTGGAGACTTCGACGCACCACATATCAACTGGATAGAGCTCACAGCTTCAGGTGGAGGTTTCGATAGTGACTTATCATAAACAAACATTTGGTATGCACTTGTATAATGTATTGTAAGATCAACACATATTGACTTAGAACATGACCCATCATTGCTAGACCTTGTACTCACACACTACTATGAAGATGTCATCGACATTCAGCACCTTTCTCCCACCAGTGGATAATAATCGCGTTGTACCGATAACGGCCTGTCTGTCTGTCGATATGATATTCATAGACTTTAGCAAAGCGTTTGGCAAGGTTTCACATTTAAGTCTTATGCAGAAGCTCTGCAGCCTTGAAATAACAGGTGCTGTGCAGGAACGAATAGGAAACTTCTTATGTGACTGAAGACAAAGAGTGGGAGTCAAAGGGATGCTATCCGAATGGAAGAAGGTCGAAAGTGGTGTACCCCAAGACACCATCTTAGACCCTCTAATTTTCATTCTCTATGTTAATGAATTGCCGCTATTGTTTTAGTCGCTCACATCATTGTTTGCAGATGATGTCAAAATCTGACGAATGATAAGAAGAAAGGCTGGTCATTTTCATCTCCAAGTTAACTTAGACGGATTAGTTAGATAGGCTTCTGTTTGGGGATTAGAAGTTAATTGTAGTAAGAGCGTGCTCATGTATATCGGACACAATAATATTTACCATTACACTACTGTTGGTACATCTCTTCCACGTGTTCAAGAACATAAAAACTTAGGAATAATAATAAGTCATGATTCGAAAATAACTACGCAGTGCAACGCAGCTGCTGCCAGAGGTTATCGTGAGTTATGGTCACTACGCCGGGCATTAAAATGCTTTGACGAGATGTTTCGAACTTTATATCCCACCTATTTAAGACCAAAGAACACATTACGCCGAGAAATAGAGACAAACATGAAAAGAATAAACAAGAACTGAATAGAACTAGAAAAGAAGGCCCAGGACAGAGTGGGGTGGAGAAAGCTGGTAGGCGGTCTATGCTCCATTGAGAGTAACAGGCGTAAGTAAGTATTTAAGACCACACTTGGATTACTGTATTCAGGTAGCTAGATCACGTCTGACAAAAGATACCAACTCACTTGAGCATGCCCAGCGTGTGGGGACGAAATTAGTAGAGGCTCTCTCGAAACTCTCTTACGATGAGCGTTCAAAAAGCTTAAACATTTACCCCTTGTCGTATCGTAGGACGCGAGGTGACCTTATATTGGCATTTCGTACATTTAATGGTGATTAAAGGTCTGTATGTCTTATCTTTTTGCTCCCTCTAGCACTGGTTATCTCTGAGGTCGTAGCAAGAAGGTTCACAAACCGCGATCTAATAAACTTTTTTTATTATCGAATGGTCAGTGACCACAACGCATCACCCGAACACATGGTATCAACCCCATCAGTGAACATTTTCAAGGAGAAGCTGGAATTTCATTGAAAGGTAATCTGTCAGGAATGACACAGGCTCACTAACCTACTATCCATATTACTGAAGACAACAGTTTGGACCATTTAAGGTTGTAGGAAACCTGAAAACAGTTGAAACACAGGGGAAAAAAAATAGTCTAACCACTGTACTTGACGTGAAATTTTACTGAATGTTCGAAGATGAAAAACTTTCGTGTCATTTTCCAATTACATAGTGATAGAAATTGAGTCCTTTAAGAGGAAACTTGACTTATTCTTAAGGACTAAGGATAACAAATTATTATGATTTACCAAATTCTTTTTTTCCTCTATTATCGTTCATATACCTAGGTTTTTACCTGAAGGTATTGATGATCCACTGCTACTAGACACGGAAGCCCGTTAAGCGAAAGCTTCTTCAATTCCGTCCTCAACCATTTGAACCACTTGAGCTTTTGTTAAATTCCATAAATTCTGTAGGTCAAGAAGTCAGCACAAGTTTTAAGTTGTATAAATTTGTCCTAGAGATTTTATACGAATGTTGGATGTTACGAAGGAAGATGTCATCGAACTACTTAGTTTCATGTTGGACGCTGATTTTAACGAACAACTATTGAAGTGTTACCCAAAGGTAACTGGTACATCAATAATTAACGCAATGAAACATTTAGGAAATATATAAAATAAACGATATCTGCAACACACTAACATTTGAGGACTGTCCTGCTGAAGTAAGCTGTCTAAAATTTTATTCTTCGCTAAGATTTTGGAGAACATGAACGGTTATATGTGTGGACATTACCCACCACTCATTGCTATTCCCCGTACTCGACATTTATCTTCGTAAGAAACAGAATATGTACAATTATTTTAGATAGATCATTGGCCGATTTAGGTCAGCTTATGCTTCAGTCAAAGTTTGCTCGCTGCCGAACAAGATTTGTTGTCCCTTCCTTTTCTTTTAAACATAAGGTTTGTTCAGTTTTATAGTTCATGTCGAATACTTTATCCGAAAGTTATTTTCCATCATCAATTAACTCACTAGTATACTATATATATATATAGTAGTTCGTATACATGGGATATCGGTAGTTGGCCATCATGATCGTGGTTTACGCATTTTTCCTATTCAACCTCTAAATCCAAGGTGTTGCGAAGGCCGGGGAATCTCACCATCTCTTTTCTGGTGACCATTACTCTTTATGACTTTAAATGCTCCTCCAGAGATCACGGATAATTCAGTTGATTTCCTTCAATGTTCTCGCCTCAGTATAACTGCTGTTGTACTGTGAAGGTCCACAACATATAGTGGCACTTGACCAAGCACTGATACACCATCTCACGAGGCACATTCATTTAATCTAATCTTGGACTCAACTACAACACTTCTACCCCTAATAAAACCAAAATAATCAGACTGACATATTATAGAACGTGATCGGCTAGCTTGAATAGTGATGTGTCCGGACTATGATGGACTTAGGTTGGTTTTTATTGCACATTTATCAAGCTAAACATCAGATACCAAAATGATTATCAATAACAACATCGTCACTTATCATACCCGCACACATCCATACACACTCCTTCGGAAAATCGAGGTATGGCAATACGACCCAATCCACAGTTTGCGACTGTTGTCTAAATTGGTAATTTCGTTTCCAAACCTATCAAGGTTCGAGTAGACGGGCAATTTAGATCACATCAAAACACCGGAATTGATTAGAAACTGTAAGATCACTTGGATGTTTATCAGAGTTAAGTGAAGAATGTTGGAACTTTGAATGCTAGATGTTATCGTCCTCGTCAAAAAGTACGCGCTCAAGATTAATTATTACTAAGACAATTTTGTTATTTAGCGAACTCACGTGCAACAGAATGCAATATCTTTGTCGCACATTTGTGTATCGTGACGTTTTGACGTTGCACTCTGACGACTCTGATGTAACCCTAATCAATAGAGGGTTAACTACTCGCTTAAAAATCAAGGGTATGACTTATTTATCAGTACTTTGGACCCGTCGATGTAGTATTGTTATTGTTCAACATAGGACATTTAATAGATAAGATGACAGTTAAAATCTGAACAGCAAATAGCATTTCGAAATTGAGTCTGTGAAGGGTGGCGGCAAACCATAGCTTATTAATACCACATATCTATACAACCTACATAGATTCTCGGATATTAGAGCTATATTACTGATCACAAGTAGCGTTCATGATGTGTGCAGAGTCAGTGACTAAAGGTTTAGAAGTGGGACATGTACCCCAACGAAGTCAGATCGAGAAATACGAATAGTGGTAATAGAAACATGGACGATAAGAGTAGAGGATATTCGTAGGCTACTAGTATTCGGTCATAGGTGTCTTCGATTCATTGCTCGTATATCCTGGGACCACCGGGTAAGTAATGCAGATGTTAGGAAACAGGTATGGCAAATCGATTGATGAAGTGGTGAATCTTCATCAGGTGAGATGGCTGGGACATGTGTTACGTATGCCCAACCACCGACTGCCCCGACGTGCAATGCTTTATGGTGTAGGAGTAGGTTGGAAGAAAGCTAGGGGTGGCCAGACCAAAACATGGCATAAATCCATGAAGTCGCTGACAAGTGGACTGGGACGTGTTGGTAGGTGTAGACTACCTGGTTGGGATTCGCGAGATGATAGCAACCGATGGTTAGAGACCTTGAATGACATGGCTCAAAATCGTTTGCAATGGCGAAGGTGCATCCACTCTTTGTGTTCTCCCAAATTCTAATCTTCTGAATTCTTCATGTCCGTATCTTTTTTCTCTTTCCAAATTTATTTCAGCGTATTATACTCCTTCAATAGTATCTTCAAACCCTTATCTTTTACATAATACTTATACTCTTACTATTTCTACCAATATGGGATTTGAATTGACAACTTCATCTCTGTGCTAATGTGGTATGGCAACTCGAACTGATGTACGTACGTACGAAGTTCTACGTTGTAACTGACTGACTGACTGAGTGGTAATAAATGTTTGATGAAGAGTCTTAGTCTACCTACCAAAGAAGGAGTTGCCCATCTGTAAATGACTTGAAAAGAATTAATTCAGAGGAACGATTGTATGAAGACGGGCACTTTTTTAAACAGATGAAAAGTTGGAAAAGGTTCGCCCTATGAGAGAGACTTAGCACGTACGTGGTTGAAAAATAGGTTCAAGCTACATCCTAGCCTCTGTATAAAGCATAAGTTATATAAGAGAATTTCTCGTCCCTGATCGCAGTTGGTTCAGATATAAAAGAGATGGTTTTACAGGTCTGTGTATTTGGTAAAGACAGATTAGTTGCAATTGTTAAACAGGATGAAGGATTCCGTGGACGCTCAACTTCGAGATCAACAAGCTGGATTTCGTAAGGATAGATCGTGCACAGATCAAATCGCAACTCTACGTATCATTGTGGAACAATCAATCGAATGGAATTCATCACTGTACATCAACTTCATCGACTACGAGAAGGCATTTGATAGCGTGGACAGGACGACACTGTGGAAGCTTCTTCGACACTACGGTGTGCCTGAGAAGATAGTAAATATCATACGGAACTCCTATGATGGACTAAACTGCCAAATCGTCCACGGAGGACAACTCACCGACTCGTTCGAGGTAAAGACCGGTGTTAGGCAAGGTTGCCTACTCTCACCCTTTCTCTTTCTCCTGGTGATCGACTGGATTATGAAGACGTCAACATCTGGAGGAATGCACGGGATACAGTGGACAGGCAGGATGCAGCTTGACGATTTAGACTTCGCGGATGATCTGGCTCTTCTATCACAAACGCAACAACAAATGCAGGAGAAAACGACCAGTGTAGCAGCAGCCTCAGCAACAGTAGGTCTCAATATAAACAAAGGGAAAAGCAAGACTCTCCGATACAATACAATATGCACCAATCCAATTACACTTGACGGAGAAGCTTTGGAGGATGTGGAAATCTTTACATATCTGGGCAGCATCATTGATGAACACGGTGGATCAGATGCAGATGTGAGGGCGAGGATCGGCAAAGCAAGAGCAGCATACCTACAGCTGAAAAACATCTGGAGCTCAAAACAATTGTCAACCAACACCAAGGTTAGAATTTTCAATACAAATGTCAAGACAGTTCTTCTGTATGGGGCAGAGACGTGGAGAACTACGAAAGCCATTATCCAGAAGATACAAGTGTTTATTAACAGCTGTCTACGCAAGATACTTCGGATCCGATGGCCAGACACTATCAGCAACAAGTTACTGTGGGAGAGAACAAACCAGATTCCAGCGGAGGAAGAAATCAGGAAGAAGCGCTGGAAGTGGATTGGGCACACTTTGAGGAAATCACCCAATTGCGTCACAAGACAAGCCCTCACATGGAATCCTGAAGGTCGAAGGAGAAGAGGAAGACCAAAGAACACATTACGCCGAGAAATAGAGACAGACATGAGAAGAATGAACAAGAACTGGAAAGAACTAGAAAAGAAGGCCCAGGACAGAGTGGGTTGGAGAAAGCTGGTCGGCGGCCTATGCTCCATTGGGAGTAACAGGCGCTCATCATCAGATTAGTTGCAGTTTTCTCCTTGGGACCATTCGATGGAGGGTGTCCAAATATAGTATGACTCCTTCCATTTGGTGCTACCTTGTCACCCGTTGTGTGCTAACTTTGCTTTACGTCAGGCGATAACCGTGTTCATCTTAGATGAATCTGAGACAAGGCTCCACTTGACAAGTGCTTCTATGTTGCTGAGTGATGTGTGTCATTAAGTAAATTTGCTGCCGAACAGCGATTTGTAATAGCGAACTGATGTACTTTCAAAAGCAAGTTTCAAGCTAACTAAATTTATATCCGATAGTAATTAGGTGTTGGAGAAGACAGAATCATAGGAGCAAACATAGACAATGAGAAGTCGATCTATGGATTTACTACCTGTTGAATGAACATTAGAGTTTCTATTCAATTTGATTTTCGATACGTTGGTATTCGTATTGTATGAAATGAATAAACTAGGGGCTTTTACGGAAATGTATTCTCTTTGCTCGTTCGGTTCAGGATTAGTCGCACCCTTGGTTCTTTGTACTGAATCAATATTTAAAGAGACATGTTGGAGTAAATTGGGATGAAATAACTCAGTTGGTAGTATCCTAGCCAATCGCTCGGTGGAGTGGACATAATATTTGAGTTCTAGAGTCCTATTAGCGGTTCTTAGTTATATAAAAGAGATCGGAAATCAGCGGTTAACTGATTTGCACGTGTCGTTCGATACCACCTTTTTGTGGTTTGGTAATATCTAGAAATGTTTACTAATGTTCATCGTTATTGTAGAATTGTATGCCGTACCATATTGGCATTGTATTTCTTCAAACGAAGTCAATTGAGTGAAAAAATCATTCTTGTTCTTGATTGTTTATATTTGGTGAAGGCTAGTTATCTTCTAGCTCTAATGTTCTCTGTTAAATCCTGAGGAACCTGGAGATGTAGTAACCATTCTTTAGCCTTTACAGTGTACTGTAAACCACACTTTTTGTTCGATTCACAAGCACCTTTGTCATTTGTACTTTAACTCACTACCTTTACTTAATTAGTTTCTTACTGTTAACATGAAGTGTAGCTAAGTGAACTTATTGGTATGTACCGAAGTATACATTATTAACGACTGATTTTTAACTTATTTAAACAGTTCATCGTGATTACGAATCTTGTTTGAAGGAAATAAAAATAAGAAAACTGGTCAAACAAGTGAATTTGTTTAAGAATTATGTATACGCTTGTGTGAATTTCAGAGTGAACACTAATCCAGAAATGTTATGTACTAGGCTTTAAAAAAGTATACACACGCGTTCGCCGAAGATTCTTGTTTTTTCTCTACATCCTCTTAGCTTGTTTTCTGGCCTACCATGGTGACTAGTGTTTTGTAATACGACAGAAGTAACCCTTATTTAAATAAAGCATTTAAAGTGGTTAACTAAATATTTAAACCATAGGTTTCGCCACGTTTACTGATTTTCACAGTTAATGGTTAAAATAGATTACTGTAACTAAGGTAGATTACAGTTTATTTCATTTGTGTCACGAAATTTTTGTGTTCTTTCATTCCAGAATATATGCCGGTGTAGTACTTTAAGCGGCCCATTAGAGTTTTATGGTCGTCAAGTTGCTACAGCTGCAGGTTTGTTAACTTTCGTATTCATGTGATGACCACACAGGTTTTACTTTTGATGGACATGTCAGTAACTCTTCAGGAGGAGAGCTTCCAGATACAAGTTTTGAGTAAGTTTTATTTGTCCAAACAATTTCTGAGTATTTTTTTTACTGAGAATATATATCCATTCGAGTTCTAGTTAATCAGTCTTCAATTTTAAATGTTGACAGTTCCTAGCTCAGTGCCTATCATTTTCCTTTAAAACAGTGAATTAGTGTGCTGAAGAAACTAATTTTTTCTACTATATATCAGGGTCTAACCTCTTTTTATCTAATCTGGTTCAGCTGGGTAGTATCACTGAGCTCCACACGACGTGCAGCTGTTTGTTTTCAGCACAAAATGTGAATTTCCTTTCTAATTTGCTAGAACATCCCCATAGTTTCCAGTATATTTAACGATTAACTAAGAATCCCACATGGTAAAAATCAGTCAGTGCTTACATTACGATATATTTGAACCAGACAGATCAGAAAATATATATCAAACAAACTTTAAATAGGTTAAACTTATATCTAATTCGTTTGATCATTTGATTTTCAACTTATGGGTCACATTTTGGAACTCTACTCCATTTTATGAATTCTAGATAACCAGATAGTTCGCACATAATAATTGTGACCTATAGTCTACTCTACTCACATCTAGATAGTTATTGACTTGCTTCATTTCTCCGTCAATATTCTACTCATTGAGTTTTTTTATCTTTGACTGGTCTAGTTGTTGATGAATCTAATTTAAATTGTTGATTCTTTCTATAACATTTGAATAACATATGTTCTATTTACAAAATGCTTTCACACTTCTTAAGGACAGAAAACGGACGTCAGAGTTTGGAAAAATTACGTGATGATGATTGTGAATTAATTCGTCGTTTAAATGTCACCTATATTTGTGATTTTATGTTGGAGTACAGAAAGATAAAATGTTGGGTTCCGTAAGTTATTTATAATTTTCATCTTGTGTTTCTTTATTAACAACAAAAGCGCTATCTTTACAACCTTCGGATAACACATTATATAGGACTGCTCTCCTTATCGGTGCACAATATTTCTTTATATATTTATTTCTTAAATGGCTATCTTTTAGTTTTAGGCATCTTACTTTTATCGACTTCGGATATTTTTCACTAATTAGTAGTTAAAGCACTTGAATTCAGACGAATAGATAACAGATTCAAATGTGACTCCATCTATTTCTGTTTTGGCAGCCGGGTGGTATTACTAGTCGAGTAAATAAAACTAAGATTTGTAAATGGGTTACAAATTCCGTTGTCTCTTTGGTATAATATTTATAATCCTATGCATCTTGTTTGTACTCTATCTTGCCTAATTTTAGGTCAAACTGGATCATGTTACATTATCATAGCATTACGTTGGAGTAAATATATCAATATTGTTTTTTTAAATTGTTTTATTTACTTAAGTGTTTTACAGAAATTCGTAAGTTTTAGATATGGTTCTCTGTAAGAACTGATGTTAGTCAGTTAGTCAGCTAAGGTCACTAAAAACTTGGTTTCATAAAGATAGTTTTGTGTTTTATCTTGGCTTGTAAGTAATCTGCTTTTAACATCTCTGGAAAACTTTCCAAATGCTTCGAATGAACTTATGTATTAATAGATGCATTAAATGACTATAAGTAGGACTGTAGAACCACGCTAAATGTCGTAAAGAAAATCTCCCTTTATTGTTATGTCATTTCTTGAAGATTGTTTGTCTGTTATATATATATATATATATATATATATATATATATATATATATATATATATATATATATATATATATATATATATATATATATATGCTGGTCTTATTTTTTTGATCGTATAGAATTAGTTCATCAGAAAAGGTGGACCAACAAGGACGCTATAATGATTTCGTAGTCATACCTCTCCCTTATCCTGGCAGCGAATTTTTCCGTATATGGCGTGATTCTGGTTATACTATGCATCATGTATACTTTGACTGGAATCGGGTAATTGTCATATTTTGACGTTTATAACATGTATTTTTCCACACAAATATTACCATTTTTTAAAGTTTTTTGGATTTGGTGATAAGGAATTAAGTTATGCTAATTAACAAGTAGTTTTCCTTTTCTATATAAAAGTATCTTCTGATCAAGAAGCTTAAATCATCTGAATAACTATCTCCCAGTGGGAGCTTCTGATCTATTGTTTCGTCCTTTAAAAATCAACCAATTTCGGAAACTTTGATACAACTTCCTGTGAATAAAGTTGTTTTTACTACAATTGACGTTTCCTATCAGTAATGTACTTTAAAATACAGTATTTATGATTTTATTTGGAACATAAAATATTTAATTTAGTTCAAGGTCTACATCATTTAAATAAGTTCCAAGATAAAATCGAAGACAACCCAAAAAGTCAGAGGAAATTGACAGAAAATACATTACCATAGATTTTAATTTTTAGCTGACCATATTTCAAGCTATTTAGTTACATAATTTATCAGCCCGACCGTTGCTGCTACCTTGACGTGGTGGTCGGGCTTGCCTATCGTGATGATTCAATCGAGCTATACTGGCTGGAACAATCGTTCCTCAAGGTCCTACCATGCCAGGCAGGTCGTTTGAAGAGCGGTGAGACTAAAAGCAGCAAACCCAAGGTCCGAAGGCGAAGTCGTACTGCTGACTGTACAGAGGTGTAACAGCAGTAAGGTGTTCCCTTCAGACAACCAGCATGACGGCGATGCTGCCTTCCCACAAGGATGGTTGGGTTAGAAAAGGTCGACCCTAAAACTGCACACCTCGCCTTATCTCACGGATATCCGTCTCCGGCGGTAAGGTCCTTTGAAGAACGGAGCTAACACGAAAAGGTCGTGTGTGACCAACCTCAAGCAGTTGTCCCTTGGGCACTGTGGTCACGCTCTCAGGTCATTAAGACCACTTCTAACCCAATTTCCTTTTCAGGTACCCCTAGAAGAACCCTTCCACGGTGTGGGCAACCTCTAACAGCACTCAAGACCACAGTATTCATAATCAATCTCCTTCAATTCCTACTATTCCTCCTACCTTGACTTTCAACACTAAACTTCCTCTCTCGGTTTCCTCCTCAAGTGTCACCATGGCCAACGATTCTAGTGCGCGAAACGCTGTCCCAGGTCTACTGAAACCTCGCTCCAAACTACACATTGGAGCCTTCAACGTACGTAATTTAAGTCAAATCGGTCAACAGGCCTCCTTAGCTAAAACCCTAGGATCTCGTACCATTGATGTATGCTGTGTCTCCGAAACACGCATACAGGATCCTAGTGTGGTCATTCACTTGACCTCACCTCACCAAAATGGAAAGCCAACGAAATACACCCTCCGTGTATATGGCGACCCGTTGGCTAGTTCTCACGGACTTGCAGGTGTAGGCATAGCACTAAGTACAAGGGCAGAACAGGCACTACTAGAATGGATCCTCGTTAACAGTCGCCTGTGTGCTGTCCGGCTAAATGGCTCCATAAGAACTCGGAAGGATAGGGACACACGTCGTTGCCTTTTCATCGTTTCTGCCTACGCTCCCACTGACTGCAGCCATGATGAAGTGAAAGATGACTTTTACAGAAAGCTCTCTGAGCTTCTTCAGAAAGCTAAGCGCTCGGACATAGTAGTCGTAGCGGGTGACTTTAATGCCCAGGTAGGCTGCTTAATTCAAACAGAAAGACTTTTAGGTGGGTGTTTTAGTATTCCGGCTCAACGAACCGATAATGGTGATCGTCTGTTGCAACTATGCTCAGACAATCGTTTATTTTTAGCAAGCACTAATTTTAAGCATAAGGAGAGACATCGTCTAACATGGCGACACGTTCACCAAACCAACGATGGAATCAAATAGACCATATTGTCATCAGTCATTGTTGGAGAGGCTCAATAGATGATTGTCGCTCGTATTGGAATACTTGCTTAGACTCTGATCACGCTTTAATACGAGCGCGCATTTGTCTGCGCCTCACTGGACGCAGAAAAACTACACTAAGAAGACCCATTAGGATTGAACTGGAGGACGAGAAAGCCAAATGCGAATTCCAGAAACAACTGAGTTCACATCTAGGCAGTTCTGTAAGCGAGACTGACCCAGATGTTGATTGGAAAGACACACGAACATCTGTGGAAACAGCAGTAACATCTATTAGTTATTTAAACCATAGGGCTCCAAAAAAGCAGTGGATTTCTTCTAAGTCTATTTCACTGATGGATTCGCGTAAACTCATCCCATCAGGCTCTGAACACGACGAAGAGCGTAAAGAAATTATATCTAGGTTAACTAAAAGTCTAAGGAACGATCGTGAGCAGTGGTGGGCAACGAAAGCAAAAGAGATGGAAAAGGCAGCGGCTGTTGGCAACACCAGGCAACTATTCAGACTAATAAAAGAAACCGGAATTAAGAAGTCAAGTGTAAGTGAGACGATCTCGGAAAAAGATGGAACCCTTATCTGCTCTCAACCCAAACGTTTAGAACGATGGGCGGAACACTTTAAGGAGCAGTTTAGCTGGCCTTCAGCTACTGCACAACTACCCACTATTCCCAGAAAACCTGAATGGAACATTGAAGTAGGCCCCCCGACCCTACTTGAAGTTGAAAAGGCTATAAGTAATCTGACTGACTGACATAATTTATCAAACCTCTTTGACTAGATTTCTATTCGCACTCAATTATTAATCTAATACAGATATACTTCACTGCATGATTCCTCGTAAGCGAATCTCATCACCAGACAATTATACTGCATATGAAAATCACTGAAAGAAATATCCATTTGATTACTTCCATTTCACTTTGATCGCTTAACACAACTCAACAATTTTTAAAAAACTTTGGGTCAATACTACATTATCCTTAATCAAATCAAATCCTTAGTTCATGTTATTATTATTTGCTGTAAATGTGATTTGTTTTCTGGTCAAAAAATGTTTTCTTTCATATATCTTGTCTCCCTTCACTTACAGATTATTCGTAGTTGTCAATGGGATATGTATTTGCGTAGTACATACACATTGTAAATACTCGTTTTTTACCAGGATGTTAAAATAAAAGGCGGTTTTAGTATCATAAGGAAACTTTTATTTCACTTTGTCTGCATAAAGATGTGAATGTTCAATCATAACAGTCTAAACGGCACACGAATTTTTAATGCTCGCCACATTTTATACATAAATATGAGTTATCAGTAACATGTGTTACCGAAGTCTGTGCTTTATATTTAGTAAAATCATCGATTAACAAACGAAGATTTTTCAAGATTTTAATATCTTTGTGTATTTCAAACAAATAGATACTAAATCACTTTTTAGATAGTCTATTCACTCTATTCAAAGCAATATTCTACTACGTTTAGTGGGACTATGATCATTCATACAAATACTACAAAAATGTAGATAACCACAATAAACTAGTCAGTTTATATATATATATATATATATATATATATATATATATATCATCACGTGACAAAACCACTAATCAGAACATCGATTTATACAACCTTAGCCCTGTGCCAAACCAGCGATGCGTCAACCAGCACGAGCAGCCTTAATTGGCTCTTCTAGCCTAGCCCTGTATGTTTGAGTCCATAATACAATCTCAGCTTCCACTATTTTAAGCATGTAGTTCATGCGTACGCAGTTTATATACGAGCAAATCAGACCACACCATACCACAAAATAGAAAATAACAATTATAAACGATCAAGCCAAAAGTAGCTGTGAATGTGAGAGATTGTAACTAATTGATTCAGAATAACTTGGGTTTAGTAAATGGTATAATAGTAGCCAATCGGTCAAATGAAAACTCATGATAAAAGGAATATGAATATACACATAATAGAGTTACTAGTTATCCAATAGGGATATATATATATATATAATAGTCCATAAGCAATTTCTAGTAGTTACTTACTCGCTCCTATTACTCCTCGTGAAGGAACATAAGCCTCCCACCAGCATTCTCCATCCAAATCAGTCTTGAACATTCCTTTCCAGTTGTTTCCACTTGCTACTCATGCTTTTCATGTATCCTTCCAATTCCCGACACAGTGTGTTCTTCGACCTTCCTTTTTCTCGTTTTCTTTCAGAATTCCAGGTTAGCGCTTGCTTCGTGATGCAGTTCGATGATTTCCGTAATGTATGTCTTATCTACTTCCAACGTCTTTTCCTAATTTCCTCTTCAGATGGAAGCCGGTTTTTCCTCTCCCACAGAAGGCTTTCGGTGATGGTTTCCAGTCGACGGACATTGATTATCTTGAGCAGACAACTGCTTAAGAATACCTGTACCTTTTTGATGATGGCTGTGGTAGTTACGGGAATTTCAGCTCCGTACAGTAGAACTGCCTTAGCGTTCGTACTGAAGATTCTGACTTTGATTTCGGTTGACAGTTTTTAGTTCCATATGTTCTCCAATTGTAGGAATACTGACCCTGCTTTGTCAATCCCTTCCTTTACGTCTGCATCGGCCCCTCTTTGTCCATCGAGAATGATGTCCAGGTATGTGAAAGTTTCCACCTCTTCCAGAGTTTCTCCATCAAGTGAGATTGGGTTGGTGTTCTACGTGTTGAATTTGAGGATCTGGTATTTAGAATAACAACTATGAAAGTATTACGTTGAAAGTGAACATTTCTTTTCATTAACGAAGTGAATACAGATCAAATGTTAATAGTATCAACTAACCGAACTTTATAATGTCTGTAGTGTAATGTGACCATTTTTAGTTCCTGGTCTAAGAACACTACGTGGTCACTAAACTGTACAACTTAACATCTTAGTTTACTGTATTTGTTTTTAAATGGGTCGAGGTAGTGGACAAGAGTAATGATCAACCTAGTTTTTCATGGTTTTGTTTGGCGTGAGCTATCATTCGAAAACTTATTTGGATACTTAATCAAGAACTGCACGACATATAATCCCTATTTCAATCTGTCAAAAAGAATGTCTCTGACTACATTCTTAACAAACTTGTAGTTAGTTGCTTTTGTAAGAAATATTATTTCAGACATTTCTATATACTGTTTACAGTTATTTAAGCGAAACTGTGATTTATGGACGAACCAGTCAGATTTAAGACGGAAACACTCGAATTTCGACGCAAAACTCATCCATCCGTTTGGCCAAATAGCATTTGAGCATCATGGTTGATGTGAACTCTAACTGTAGTCCCTGACCCTAACTTCTGATCCTGATCATCCACACTAATATATAACGTTATTTTGACACCAGGAAGTGGTCAAAGCTTCTCAAAGTCAATTCACGATCGCTCAAAGGTAATCTATAGATTACATTCTCGCCATTATTTATTTTCAGTCTTATTAATTGTACTCTGTTTCAGCGTTGTGATTTTCAAATTACTATTTTTACCTATGGATTTGTGTTTTCGTTAACCGTTTTGTGTTGTAGTCAGGAGTTGAAGTGTCTGTCAATCCAAACCTTATACCAAAAACTCTGTTATCTAGCTCAGTAGAATGGAGCTTGTACAAGGTTGGTTTAATATTTAAGAAAACTGCATGTTACTTTTATTTAGCCCATTCATATAATGTTTCATTTCTAAACTATGTATTTCATTTTGAACAAAAGTAAGTGGATTTATGAACAATATATTGAACTGGTGGATGTAGGATCGTTGAATGATGACTGCTTTTGATAACCAGATTTATTATGCCTAACCTTTAAATGACCAAAGATCAGAAAGCCACTTAACTGGTTAGTACAGTCTCTTTTTCAGCGAACGAAAATCATGCTCGTTTTCAAAGCTTAAGGTAAAGTAAACATTACTTAGTTAATTTAGTAAGGGGACGTAGTCTGTAACTGGTTTCACATCCTAACTACAAATTTAATTTCTTATCGATGTATAACATTCCTTCTCATAGCAGAACAACAGCATAGTGGTCTGTCACGAATGTTATATTATTTCAACTTAGCCCTACTTATAGTCAATTGCCAGTGGATCAATTAGAATAAAACCATTGAATTTCAAACAATTTTACCGGCAGAAATGTGGGATTTAAAGAACATCATAAGATAAAATTTGAGAACATTAGGTCAATATTTATAATAGTCCAATCTTCGGCATATAAATGAAGATAGAAAACGAATGTATAAACGAAACACTGAAATTTAATAATTTCAGATTATCTGCGAACTCAGCCAAGAAACATTTATCCCTAACCAATAATAAATGTCTTCGCCTTTTCATGTCACATTTTTGGCCAGCTACTGTTAACATTCCTCAATTTATAATTATAAAACCAATAAGTTATGTTGTGGGAAACGGGAGATTTAGTAAACATGATGAATAACTTAGTCGTTTTGAACCTACAATTTCATCAAACGAGTTTTATGTCGTATATACCATTTGGTATTAAGTTAAAAGCTTTCCAGATACTTTGGTTGGAAGTACTTAAAATGCTCAAAACTGGATGCATATGCCTATGGTTAATTGCTGAATTAATGTGATCTGTGAATAAGAATTAAATAAGAGATCTAAACATTGGTGAATAATCTTTATAATATATTAAGTTTAAAAACTGTAAATCGCTCCATGATACTCTACCGTGGTTAGATTATTTGGATTCATAAGTAACGCAGGATAGAAGACGTCAAAATTATTGATTGTCTACATAATGATGTTGTTTTCCACTGGACTACTTATTGTGACGACTAGTAGTCGGTTCTCATCTCAGGGATTTTTATCCCATTCATGATCATTCACTGCACGGGTGAACCTTTTGTCAAAAGTGATACAATCCATTAAGCTTTTATAACTTTCTGTATGAACAACTGGATTTTCTCATCGGTCTTTCCTATCCATAGTGAATATGGCTACAAAGTCACTCTACATTCACTACTTCGTAGCCTTCATTTATTGTACTCTTAATACCTCTATTTTCGGACTAAAAACTGGTAGAATTCCCAGTTGCGTTCCATTTTTCGTGAAGCAGATTCTGAAGATGTCGTCCAAAACATTCAAGAATGCTTCTCAGTAAAATCATTTAGCTCAGAACGTAACATTATTAAAATATTTTCCAACGTCTTACCAAATAAGTTTGTTCACGAGAAGATTAACTCTCTCTTAAATGTAGTTTTATCTACACAATATCTCTTCCTAATTCTGTTTACAAGCACTGTGGAAGAAAATGTCATATACTAATTGTTAACAATAGACAACTTCGATTTTCTCTCGATGTGCTTTAGTTTACTAGAAATCGGGAGAAAACGATACATCTTCGTTCATGGCTTTTGTGTTAAAAGATTTATTGTAGTAATTTCCTTTAATCCACGTATTTATGAATGTCAGAAATCTTCGCGTTCTTTTTTTATTTCATTAGATATGTTTATTCTCAATCCAATTATGAGTAAATGTTGATGAATTTTATCAGTTTAAAATGTATATTATTGCCAACTTTAAACTGAGTAGGTAAATATATTGTTTTCTAATAATATATTTCAGTCCTGGGATATTTATACAATCACTGTGAACTACATGAAGTTGCTTCTTGGCTTACTCTACGAAGGTAATCATCAACTTCATAAACATTTATCAATTTTTGTTACTTTAAACGTAAAAAACAAATTTAATTACAACGTACAACAATTAAAGATGTGTTTCTTTTTTTCTTATGAAACTGGGACCGGTAATTTTTTTGGTCAGAACATCCAACTTTGAACCACTTGTTTTTGGGTTTGAGCCTCATTCTGTAGTAAACGAAGACTTGGTGGGAACAACCAATTTATTGTTTAATGCATAATCACACAGTGGTTTAGTAAAATGTAAAAATCATACACCAAATACATCATATGCACATCTTTCAATTGTCTCTTAAAAGCTTCATTGTTCCTTCATTCTTGCAGTTATCTTGATTGCTTTTAGTTTCGTTCTCTCTTATTCCCATTTCAATCTTTTCAACCTTCTGCTCGCAGACACTCCACTTCGGACTGGTGATGCATACGACTTATATCTGCAAACATGAGTAACATACACTACAATTCCACCTACTAAGTTTGAGTAGCTCGATAATTTGACCAATCTTTATTGATACGTTGATGCCTAGTTTGAACACAGTTTTTATAATGGATTGTGATATTAGCTGGAGAAACATTAAAATTCAGAGATTACTAGATAGTTGTTTCATTCTAATTTGGAACTATTCATCAATGAATACTCATGACCTGTTTTTTTATTTGCCTTTTAGGTCTTAATTCTTTCTAATGGTTCTCTAAATGAACTTAGTTTGGCACTAGAACTATCGATAATGTAATAAGACGAAGATTATCAGAACTATGTGATATATTAGCGCAATACATTTCGAATAATCTGATCATACATATACTTGTTAAGAACATTTATATATAAAAATAAAAGGTCAACTAGACTGGAAATGGGGGTACGAATAGACGAGGATAATAATAATAAAAATAATGTGAAAACAATTTGACACCTAATCACTCTGGATGATTAGCTAATATTACCAGGGTAGGTTTAAGGAGAGAATAAACTGTTTTTGAATACACAAAGGGGTTTTGAATTTTCGTATGGCTAAGGCTTCAATAATATATCACATAGTTTGATAATCTTCGTCTTTTTATTACATTGTCGAAATTTATCAAAGAGACTAATTACTTTAAATTTCTTAAAAGAAGACTCCCTGCACATACTAAAACTATCGTCCAATTTTAAACTAGTAGTCTGAAGTTCCTCTTAATGTGTTCAAGCACGAGAAATATTTGAATATGCCATAAACTGAGTTCCCTGATACATGAATTACATATTACAGGCTTACAATGAATTTCTCCACTCTTTCCTTAAACAACCTTTGAGATTTACAGATGATACATTTTAGATGTATTTTACCCTAATGGATGTGAAAGTTCTGTATTTGGGTAGGTAGCATTATCTAACCCTATAACCTAATGATGAAATTATTATTACTATTCTTTTTTCAGAACTAATCTTTACCGGTCAGTCCCCTCGATTTCGAACTAGCACAAAATGTAGGTTAAGGGTTTCCCGTCGACTATATCCAACATACTAACATGGAATATATATATATATCTTTGAGTAAAACATTCATTTGGATGCACACTGCTGAGGAGTCCCACAATAGGACGAAACGGCCGTCCAGTGCTTCCAGGTTTTCCATAGTGGTCTAGCTTCAATTGACTCATGATTTCAACTATGAAAAATACTGAAATCTCCACAAAACCCGTTCACATTTATTTTTATTGAAGCTTTCATCATCTTTGTGAGGTTTGTAACTATTAAACATTCCACATGGATAGGTAAACATTAAGAATTTTTTAGTTGTTGTTGAGAAGTTTTCGGAGCACGTTGTTTGACCCATTCTTGGGCAATCAATGCTAGTGAATAAGTGGAGAAGGCCCTAAAATTTTGTTTAAGATTGTGCATGTACTAAGGTTTTTTGTGACTCTGATTCATTTCTATTCAACTTATTTGGGACATAGTTACGTCCCTGCCCAAGCCGTGTTCTGATTTTCGAGACTAGTCGAGTGAATACTTACCAATGGTTGTTTATTATTTCTTTACTTAGCTAATTATTTGAATCTATTTTAGAATATTTATTAATTTTCGACTTAGTTAAGCACAATTTGTAAAATATTATCCAGTCATTTTATGTTGCATCTATCTAGGTGTCCTAATTTTTCTAAGTGCAAATCCTCGCTACATTTATCCACATACGTTGATATGACATCATGTTTAGGTGCAAAAAATTTTTTAAACAAATAAAGAATCCACTTATTTGATGCAGGATTCTTTACTGTTGTACTAGTTTCTCTTGTCCATAATATTCAACTCATCCTTCGTTGTTGTACTAACCCAAATGTCGTTATCACTGTACATGTATGAACTTTTCAAATTACTCATGAATATTCTACATTAAGTGAAATCAGCCTCTTTACAGAGACATATGTATTGCAGAGTTTATCTTATTTTCACTTTTTTCAAAGTTGGTTTCGTCATAGATGTCACTTAGTAATGTGTGCACCTCAATTTGTAACTCCGAAATCTGCTAGTACTTGGAAACCGCTGCAGTTTTCAAACATCTGACTACTTTGATCAAGGAACAGCTGTGATTTGCACCATACAAATAAGACTGATGTAGATGAAGACTTTTATTGATCCTCAAAAAATAAAACAACAGTTGTTTTAATGGCGAATAGTTGGTACTATCTACTGGAAATTATGAACCACACAGTATAAGTGAGACTAAGAAGACGATAGATGAGAGTTTATTCAACACTCAAAATTGATCTAAAATATACGTCTTTTTGTGTTTTGGTAACAGTGGTAAGTAGTCAGATTCCCATAAATTAAACTGAATAGTATTTTAATTATTCCACAACTTACCGCATAAATATAAATTTACATCGTAAAATTGTAAGTAGCAGATATAACTAATATGATTACTCCTTAAAATGTGATTACATGCAGTAGATGATTTGAAAAAGAAACCTATTTTGTAGGTCACTAATACTCCAACTAAACCCTTGGTCATCATATCAGATTGGTCATATTGATTACAGTTACATAAGTCGATAGACTATCTGATGTGTATCTAAACTAAATATAAATATAAAAGGGCTTTAAAAAGTATCGTTTCCTTTTCGTAAATTACAAATTAAACGTTGAATTTTATAATATTCGAGCCCATAAAATTTCTAAAACTTATATTTTAACTAAATCTCATCTTTCAATAGGATCATACTACTCTTTAGTGGAATACTGAAAAAGAAAAAGAGAATTCAGCGAAGAAAATTTTCTTTTCGTCGAAATCATTTACTTAAGCTGTACATTCGTATATATAGTGATATGGAAAATATATGTCTATAGTAGGCTAGAAAAGATTGCATTATAAATGGATTCGACAAATGAGGTGACGTACTAATCAAGGGGTTAGGAAGAAAATAATTTATGGGTCAGATAATGAATATGGAATTCAAGGGAGACACGGCTGCTGAAATCCTGAATAAACGGATTTCAAAAACGTTGAATAAAACTTTCTACACAGCCAAGCTCCGAATCGTTTTCTCTAGCCGGCCTACCATTCGGGGGGGTGTTAAGGACAAACTTTCGCTTTGAGCCACATCGATGTGTATTTATAAAAATATAGGCCGCACAAAGCGATCGCTTTCCAAACGCATCTCTGAACACTATCCAGCTTGGCTCCTAAAAGGTGAATGTAAAAAGATAACCAGTTCGATACAAGAGCATTTGATCAATTGTGGACACATTGCTCCAAAAGACACGTCTTTTAAAATAATCTCTAGAGTTAAAGGAACCGGATCAAAGGGAAGTCGAATCAATATTTTATGCACTGCTGAGGCATTGGCAATCCATGAATTCAAGCCTGAAACGATTTGTCCAACCTCTTACCCTTCCTTGGCCCTAATTCCCTTATTGAGTACATTTTTTGGTTGTTCTTTTTTTGTTTTTTTTTCTGTACTTTTATCTGATTATTATCGGTTTTTTGTTTTTTTCAATTACTATTTTACATTTAAACTCTAATCAGTTATTATTATTACTTTCTACAAGTTTTCTTGATTATTATTCAGTCTATTATTATGACCTTTGTGTTTGTCGCTTTTCTTCACATCTGTCAATTGAAATATTATCTGACCCATAAACTATTTTCTTCCTTACCCCTTGATTAGTACGTCACCTCATTTGTTATTTATTATCGAATCAATTTATAATGCAATCTTTTCTAGTCTCCAATAGACATATATTTTCCATATCACTATATATACGAATGTACAGCTTAAGTAAATGATTTCGTCGAAAAGAAGATTTTCTTCGCTGAATTCTCTTTTTCTTATTCAATGACATTATGAGTTATTTTAGAATACTGAAAAGTAAATATAGCATGAAATTTTAAAAGTTAGTACTTATTGGTTAGCAGAGATGGATAATGGCTAGCAGTGGAATCCAGGACGCGCGTTTCGTCCTATTTGTGACTCGTCAGCTGGATGTACCTGCATCTCAGAGTTGATGTTCACTCTGGGACTCGAACCCAGTACCCTCGCTTCAAACGCCATCGCGTTATCCACTCGGCCACTGAGTCCTGATAGCCACTTGCTTGTACGATGGGGTGAAGTTTAAATCCAACTTAGTATTGTTTGTTTGAAGCGAGGGTACTGGGTTCGAGTCCCAGAGTGAACATCAACTCTGAGATGCAGGTACATCCAGCTGACGAGTCACAAATAGGACGAAACGCGCGTCCTGGATTCCACTGCTAGCCACTATCCATCTCTGCTAACCATGCTTGTGAATTAAGGTATATCGAGGCAATACGCACAGTATGCACATATGCCAATTACAGACTGACCAGTTGCAGTCCTAACAAATCGATGGGAAGATTCAAACGAACAATACTAAGTTGAATTTAGTACTTATTGTGTTTAGAAAGATGAACAGTTTGTAGACAAGTATTTGTCAGTTATTATCAGTACAACAAACCAATCCAATCAGCTAACATTAGAAAAAATAACAACATGAAAGTATAGGACAGTGGAATTACTAACATTATCAATCGAAATAATAATGATAGTAGCAATCATTCAAAGTATTTTTTTTAATTGTATGGCTTAAAATCATACTTAGCAATTCATGGCAGTTCAAATATTTTTTCGGTTTCTCAAATGATTCCCAGTCTTTCATAGAAATTTTTCGACCATTTCAACGGTCTGATAACATATGAATAAACCGTTTTAATTATTCGACCTTTCTTCGCTATACTTCACCATACACTATTGTAGGTATGATTAAAAACTGGTTTCAGCTTATACACTTTTAACAGGCAACAAATTTTAACCAGCTACAAATATGATTAATATTATATAGTCCCAAACGACGATTTAATTATAATTAAGGCTATCAAGACATATGACTTCTGAGTGAATATATAGAATTTATTTCGTCATAAAAATTGCACTCATGACGCCATATAGCATAACATTTAATGCTTTACAGTTTATTTTGTATGTAAGAGTCTCATGAAATCATCTTAGTCTTGTTTAGATGTAAATAAATATTAATACACTTGTCATTTATTAAATTAATCTTTCAATTTATTCACAATCTTCATTTATTATTAATAGGTGCTGGAGGTTTACTATTACATTGTGTTTCTGGATGGGATCGTACACCGCTGTTTATTTGTCTACTTCGTTGTTTACTTTGGGCTGATGATTTAATGCATTGTAGTTTAACACCTATTCAAATGTTATATCTTACTCTTGGATATGATTGGTTCTTGTTTGGTCATAAATTGAAAACACGTATGGAATTGGGTGAAGAAATACTCCGATTTACTTTTCAATTTATCGGTGAAATGGCTAAATGTACAGAATTATCACTTCGCAGAGTGTATGTGTTGGTGACATCTTCATTTTGAGTATTGCTCTCCATCTTATTGTTTTTCTGTCAGCCATGCACTTTCGTTGTTTTCACCACTGAATGACCATTGTTAAACAACAATTGAAAAACACGAAATACTGTATATTGATCGAGATCATGAGTCGATCGATGTTAGACCACCATTGCAAACCTGGAGGCACTGGATGGCCAGCACATCCTGTTATGGGACTCCTTAGAAGTGCACATCCACGATACCGCACATGGGATTCGAACCCAAGACCTCACAACTCTATACGGACGACACGGTTGTCCAGTGCTTCCAGGTCTTCAGTGTTGATCAGTTCGTGATCTCAGTTAGAACTAAACAATCTCCACGACCCTATACTAATAAATATCATGTAAAAACTGGTGAACAGCATCGAAAGGTAATTCTCAGAGTTCTAGTGAGAAGCCGTGACCATTGTAGTTCAACCGTGTCGGATGTGAGACAGTTACCCACCGTAAATAATGTACGATGGTCACTAAAAGTCGTGGATTACTTGAAATTATACATTAACACCGTTTGATGCCAGCTCCGTGGTGTAGGGTTTCAGCCTACGCTCACGAAACGAAGGTCCCGGGTTGGAATCCCATGTGCGGTATCGTAGATGTACACTGCTAAGGAGTCGCATAACAGGTTACAATGCCCGTCCAGTGCTTTCAAGATGGCTGCGGTGGTCTAAAATTGGTCGGCTCATGATCTCAAAAAAATTCAACAATCTTCACAGCACTATACTGATTAATACTGGATGACTGTTTTATCAGATTAATATTACAGACTGTTCCCAGCGAATGAAATAGTTCCATATGAGTAGCACAAATTTCTTGTTAAGGATACGTTACTCATAAAGTAAAACCTCATATGTATGTTTGTACATCGGTTCAAGTGCATATAACCCATTAACACAGAGATAATTTAGTCAGGGCAAATCCAAGACTACTAGAGGTAGTAACAGCTCTAATGATAACAGAAATGATTAGGCATCGAACGTACGATTCAAGAACATATAAGGTAGTGCAATATAATCAAAGAAATCTATAGGAGATTTGGAAGAACAGATGCACCTGAGCCGTTCCAAACAATTTTGAGCTGTGTCATTCAGTCTCTAACCACTGGCTACAATACTCACGCGGATCTCAACCATGTAGTATACAACTATCAACATATCTCAGTCAATTGTCAACGACTTGATGGACTGATCTCAAGTTTTGGTATGATCACCCTAGCTTCCTTCCATCCTACCACTACATCAGAAAACGTCGCCCATCGAGATAAGCGGTAGTTGGACATACGTCACACCTGTCCGAACAACTTCATTTGATGAAGATCTACCACCTCTTCAGTCGATTCGCCAACATTGCCTAGTAATTACTAATGTCCCTCAACCAGACATTTCTTACTCAGTGGTCCTAAAATACACGAGTAATGCTTTGAAGACATCTATGATCGAATGCTAGTAACCTACGAACATGCTCTACGTCTAATGGCTATGTTTCACACTCATAAAATAGAAGGGAGCGAACTGCTGCCCAGTAAGCTCGTTTTTTTGTACTGAAGACTCATATTTCTCCTACAGCACGAGTTGGCAAGATCCAATCGAGCCTTCTTAATATATGACGAGCTTACATCTGTCACCAACTCATCAGGACTGATGTGATTCCCAAAATAAATGAAAAGGTCGATTCCTTCAACTACTTCACACTATATCATTTATTCTGGCGCTGACGCAAGCCCATCCTGCAAGTAAAGATCCACACCTCGAACATGCTTGTATTGTTGCTTATGGTTGTAGTGGCTGGTACTATGTCAGGGACACATACGTTATTCTAGCCTCTGGACAAATCAATCTATTCATTTTTCTCAAGCCACATTTTCACCTTGTCACTTATCAATCTTGACTGTTTTTATGTAAGCGCATGTGTGTCTATTTCTTACCTTAATCATCACATATCTGTAACTTATTTTTGTGTGACTATAAATGTCGATTGACGCTTGGTTAAATCGAGTTGGCTCACACATGCCCTCTCCACTGCGCGTCATTTGCTTTCGCTTCTCTCGTCTTCGCTACGTCACTCTGACTGTCTGTTCCGATCAACGATTGTTTAAAATATACGTATTCAAAACTCCATTCTCATATTTGACTTATTTAATTCGGTTATTCACTAACGCGAGTTAAGTCGATGATTATATACGAAAGTAGACAGGGTGTATATTTCGATAGTGATCATTCTTCAGATCTAACTGGAGTCAGATAACTGAGCCAGTTAAAGGTAGTAATGAGACTGCATTATCTCAAAGTCTTCAACAAACAGAACCACATCTTTTAAGTTTTGTAAGCCAACAAGTGAATCTCTCGGTAAAAGATAAGCCCTTGGAAAGTCAGACATTGTAATTGTTATCTCTAAAAGCATGTCTGTGACAAATTTATATAAAACCGTGGAAAGATGATAGCCCTGACGAACACTACCTTGAGTAATCAATTTCTATGGCAGTTTGCTATAAGCTCTGATTCAACCAGTAGTGTTCGATTAAAGATCCTGTACAAGGTTAATGTACTTCTTTGGTACGCCTTTTAGTGACAGACACTGCTATGGAAACTCACTATTAAATGAATCGAGTGCTGCCTTAAGGTCAAGGAATATAATTATATTCGAACGTCTAATAGTATGTCTGTGCTCCAGAACCTGCCGATAGGTGAAGGATTAGTCTATACATCCACGTCCAAGTGTGAAACCAGCCTGGTTTCCTCGAGTTCGCTTTTCACGAGCTCTAGTTAGACGTCGAAGTATTATTGAGGCTAACATTTTGGACACTATACTAGTTAAACTGATTCGTCTGTGTCACAAGAGGATTTCTTCCATTTCTTGTAGACTGGGTTGAACAGCTATTGAGTCAGATGGAATTACGTCCAGTTCTCAGTTAATCTAACTGCTAAAATTGGACCACCATCCTTAGAGACCTCAGGGGTTAATCTATCAGGTTCTCCTGCTCTCCCTCGCTCTAGATTGCTTATAGCTTTTTAAATCTCATTAAGATTTGGATGACTCATATCAATCAGTTTCGTTCTGGTATGAAACTCGTTATCAGTATCTATCCACAACTCCAGCGGGATAGAACGCAGGACATCCAGGTCTCTCAAGAACATCTACAAACCGCTTATGTTAATATTAACTAATGGTCAATTTCAGGAGATAACTCCCTGAGTTTTGTTGAGAAACGATGACCTGTGGGTTCCAATTATCTTGGAGTGAGGCATCCACTTCACCTAATAATACTATTGGATGATGGTCACATAGTATCGCCAAGTGGTTGGATTTAGACTTCTAAACCACTGGATGACGATTCAGCAATCTGAAGTCTAAGCCTTCACAACAGGAATTGAGTTTTTTGTGTTCGACTATCATCAAGTCTGTTAGTGCGCTCTGCCAAAGAGTCATATACTTACACAAAATGACTGTCCAGTACTCCCTGATTTTCATCAGTTCCCGAACTAAGGTCAGTCCATAAAGTACACTACAACATAGAAAAATCCCTATGCTTAAGCTGTTTTGATTTGTGTTTTGTTTTGGTTTTTTGCAGCTATGATATTCACGTTACCGATGGGTCTAAAAGTTCAGGTAATTCATAATTTCTTTTGTTAAAATCAGTTCATGATATAAACTATGGAATCCTACGATCCGCACAATCCCTACATTAATAATATGTTATTTTGCTTTAAGGTATAATTTTACATAATAATTAATCAAACTTCATTTATTCTGTTTGATCTCTTTGATTAAATTATCACTAATTCTTTTTGCTCAGCTACCTTTACTAGTGTTCATTAGTCTGTTCGTCACGTCCTTATTCTCACTTGATAGATCGAAATTTTCTGTTAGCATTTCTATTATATGATAATATTTGAAATATGTGTCAACTGATTTCTAGTGCCTTTATTTTGTTCTTGTTTTTCAATTTTGCTATACAGATTCGGATGATTCTTCGTTTATGTGAGTTGCGTAATATATATGTATATATATATTCAATTTTCGTTGGCATGTTGACATATAAAACTTTCATGTATTACTTTTTCTATGAATTATGAGAATAAATTTTCTGTTTCAATTATGCACTTGATCCTCTTCCTCAACCGTATTAACTAATGTCACAAGTAGTATAATCGACAAATGAAGTCATATGACAAACTTAAATACATTCATATCTGAAGTTATAGGCTGAAGATGTTTTCTATTGTCAGAATGACATGTATTTATATATATATTGTGTTTTTATTATAAGTACTAATTTAGTGGTGATAATTTATGAGGACTGAAATTTGTGTGAATATTTCGTAAATATAAAATGAAGAGAATATGAGATTTTAATAGCTCTTTACTCGTTAGACAACCATTGAAAATGGTAAAGCACTTAATAGCCATTTCGTCCTAGTATGGAATTGCTCAGAAATACTCATTCATAACTCGTGAGGATCGAGTCAGTTTCACATGTGAGAGTCTAACCACCAGACTCAGATCGATTCGTGATCTCAATACCATTCTACGATCTCTACAACCCCCATACTGACGATCATCATGTCCTTACTAGTGAAAAAGAAATTTCCAGAGCTCAGTGAGAAGTCGTGACTTCTGTAGAGTTCAACTATGTCAGGTTTAAGGGAAGTACACACTAAAGATAATGTAAGATGATCAAACAATATCTCAAATTCTCCGCCAGTTTACTTGATTTTTTATCCGAGTTTCTTCTGTCTAGATTATTAGCTGGTATCTACTTTAAAGGCAGTGACTCTAATCATTTAATCATTCGAATTCCAGTCATTTTTAGATGTAGGTTCAAACTATACTTCAACAGCCTCGATTTCAGCAATTAAGCATCACCACTGTGTGGTGTATGCTGACAGATATAAGTAGTATGTAACACCGATCAGAAGTAGAATGCCTGTCAAAAGAAGGTTGACAAAATTGAACTGGAGAAAACGGAAAGGGAAACATAAAGAAATTGAGAATTGGATGAATCATGGAGGATGTAAAGGATAACTGATGAAAGATAGGCAAATGAATTATTTAATGTATGGTTTTCATAATTTACGAAGACACTGTAATTCTGCACTAAAAAATTAATCGGTCTTCCCCACCAATTCTTCGTTCACTACATTTCGTGTCTCTGCATGATTTTCGCATACAGCTTTTTAAGTTTAAATCCCACTCCGTATCAGTCGCTTGGATAATGTTACTTGACTCCAGTTAGTATGTTTACCTCAAAACAAAATATATAAACTTACACTTGGTAAACGAGTTATGTAAATGAACTAGTCGGAAAAAGAATCATGGTACATGACTTCTACAGACATTTGAATATTTAGTTTACAGTATTTAGAAACACAATGTTTCAAATCCATTCTCAAAATATTGACTAATATGCTAAAAGGTTAATTTCATCATTAAATCAACTTGGAGAGTAATGAATTTTGTCTGTCCTAAAATAAATGTAATTTATTTGTTAATGAAGCTAATTACTATTGTATTTTTGCAGTGATTTACGTTCCAGTGATGATTTACAACCCTTAAGGCAATCAAGATTGGAAGAACTATCAAATTTATTCTTTGAATTTTGGAATGAAGAAATTAAAAGACGTGAAGTTCAATCTACTATCAACAGTATTGGACCCATTACCAACGAATCTGTTGTTGCGGATAAAAATACTCAGTTGATATCGAATTCTAAAGAACAATCAACTTTTAACAATGATGATGAACCATCAACAGGTCATGAAAACTATGCATGTAGAAATAGCAATAAACCCTCTGAAAATCAAAATTCCATTGTTTTTCAAGTTAGTTTTAATTATACACACAAAATATTTTGATTTATGAACTTATGAATATTGTTTGTACTGTAATGAAGCTGTATTACTCAGTAATTTGAAAATTACCCGTCCTATGGTTAGTCGGAAAGAGTCTGCTTTTGATCATGAACATAGTTCACAGTAATTTCAATGTCATCTGGTTTAGAATACCCATTCATCCTTGTCTTCTGTCCGAAATTTCACCCGTCTCTCCACCAAATTCACTTTTTTTATTTTTACATATCCACCTCTCCATTTCCATCAGTTTGGCTTGTTCTATTGACATTTTTCATTATGTATTTGGCTGATTATTTACCAAAGACATCCAAAATGTAGTTGTATTTTGTAGCATTATCGTCATATTCTTTACTCTGAACGGTAAGGTATCTTCTGTTGGTTATAGGTTTCATCAGATTAAATTTAAAGTTGATCTCTCTATCATAGGCATTTATTTAATTTAGCTTGAATTCTATCCTACTGCCCCTTCTTTACTATGTCATTTCAGTTTTTTCCCTATTTTACCAATATTTTATATCGATGTATATTAACAAATTTTCGCTTACGATATTTTGAACTAAGTTAATAAGACAGTTACCTGTCAATGGGATTGGGTTATAGTTGGGGTTATCGCGAATTGATTGAAGTTAAACATATAAACCATCGAACACCAACTCAGTGGTCTTAACACTAAGTATTGGACGCGCGACCTGAAGATTGTGGGTCTGATCCTCAGTAACTTCATGGATTTGCACTGCTTAGGAGTCCTATGATAAGACTAAACAACTGTCTACTACTCTCTGCTTTCTAGTCGTCGTCTAAGTGAGGTCAGTACCCTGCTGTAAGCTACAATATCATCTGTCTTGGTTTATGTTACAATATCATCTTTTCTTAAACTTCATAGGAATTTTCCGACTCTCTTTTTCAGAATAGGATTGAACTCGATCTCGATTACAGCTTCTAATAACAACTATTGATATTTCCTATCTGAGCAAGTCACTAGTAGTTATAAATAAGGTTTGTGCTAACCTTTGTTTTAAAAATAGTTCCTACTTGTAATCACTTAAATTTTACTTATTTATTATTATTTAAACACATAAATATTGGTACAAGGAAGCACCAGATAAATATGCGCCTCACAAATCTCATACGATTTGTGTGAGGGCTATGATACTGCCCAGGTGCCCAGACTGAAGCAGGTGGTTTTCTTAGGGGGCCACATCCGGAGCCTTTGACCTGAATGTCTGATCCACAAGGCAGTGGAACATCGTGAGGAGATGCAGTCCCATGGTACCCGGTGACCAACGATTGATTCGTACGCCATTTGTTCCTTCATGATACTGGAGCCCATGTGCACTATTGGTTTGGAATTAGGGTTTTCCAACTCCCCTAGGTGGACTCGCCTTGTCCACCAACCCGGTTAAAGCGCCGGACATTCGCTTTTCGTCCTCTCAATTTCGTAAACAACACCCCCGCCACTAAAAGGCAGTGAGTAGGACTTCCCTGACAGAGGCTATATATTCTCTGGCCATGTGAGAGCATTTCGAGAGGGAGAGGTGACTCTCCCCACTCTCGGCCGTACCAGGGCATTTTTACTTATTTTCTGTTAAAGGACGTTTCGTTTTTTATATGGGCAATATGACATTGTAAAAGTATTTAAGAATCATGGTTACTAAGCCATCATGTATTTCATATAATCTATGACTGTTTTAGTTTTTATGTCATTATTTCTACATATTACTGATTTTACAATTATGTAACAGGCTAATTGTTACTCATATTTTATCTTAAGGTTCGTAACGAGCACTTTGTTATTAATATATGATTAAGTCTTCATTCAAAATGTGCTTAAGTGTCGAAAAACCTTAAACGCTGAAAATCAGCTGACTGTTGTTGAGTGAATAAACTAACTTATACAGGTTGGGTTCATCGTCTAATTGTCTTGTCTTTGTCATTTTATAATGTATACACCACTATAAGTGGAATGGATCATAAAGCTTTCGCTAAACACAATAGAGGGAGAGCGGACTCTCCCCACTCTCTCTCGAAATGCTCTCACATGGCCAGCGAATATATAGCCTCTGTCAGGGAAGTCCTACTCACTGCCTTTTAGTGGCGGGGGTGTTGTTTACGAAATTGAGAGGACGAAAAGCGAATGTCCGGCGCTTTAACCGGGTTGGTGGACAAGGCGAGTCCACCTAGGGGAGTTGGAAAACCCTAATTCCAAACCAATAGTGCACATGGGCTCCAGTATCATGAAGGAACAAATGGCGTACGAATCAATCGTTGGTCACCGGGTACCATGGGACTGCATCTCCTCACGATGTTCCACTGCCTTGTGGATCAGACATTCAGGTCAAAGGCTCCGGATGTGGCCCCCTAAGAAAACCACCTGCTTCAGTCTGGGCACCTGAGCAGTATCACAGCCCTCACACAAATCGTATGAGATTTGTGAGGCGCATATTTATCTGGTGCTTCCTTGTACCAATATTTATGTGTTTAAATAAAATAAATAAATATGAAACACAAAAAAGCTCCGTCTAGGTAAAACAATGACGATAAAGCTGTCCAACTTACAACTGATACAAAATAGTCAATATCCGTGTTAGGACACAATTTTTTTTTTATTAGGATGCTAGATTTCGCCAAGTGTTTATCTCTTATCAGTATCATAAATGAATCCGAAATAGTATTGCTTTAATGCTTACTTTTTCTAGTTTTTTTACGCTAAAAACTCATATTTTTCATTTTTATTTATTTATTTATATACAACTTAAGTCGCCTACTACATAATTCAGGTAAACTTTAATTTGCCATTAGAAAGTTGTGGTTTATAGTTCGTTTTTTCTTCTAGTAATCTCTATCTCTTTGATTCCTTATATAATTGCAGTAATTAACAACTATATTCAAATTAATTCATTTTCATGTCAATAAAGTCTCATTTTTCGCGTGGTGATTTTCTTTGTTTTTGGTTAAGATAAAGAGATTGAAATCTATTTCTCACCCCATAACCCAATATTCCCTTGAAATCTGTGCGCAAACAAATAAATAAATTGTGTTCAGTAGTCCTTTTACGCTCAAAAGCATTTTTTTCAATAATAATATGATGATTTGGTGCCAGATGAAAGCTCGGCATATATTAAGAAGGCTCGATTGGATCTTGCCAACTCGTGCTGTAGGAGAAATATGAGTCTTCAGTACAAAAAACGAGCTTACTGGGCAGCAGTTCGCTCCCTTCTATTTTATGAGTGTGAAACATAGCCATTAGACGTAGAGCATGTTCGTAGGTTACTAGCATTCGATCATAGATGTCTTCAAAGCATTACTCGTGTATTTTAGGACCACTGAGTAAGAAATGTCTGGTTGAGGGACATTAGTAATTACTAGGCAATGATGGCGAATCGATTGAAGAGGTGGTAAATCTTCATCAAATGAAGTTGTTCGGACAGGTGTGACGTATGTCCAACTACCGCTTATCTCGATGGGCGACGTTTTCTGATGTAGTGGTAGGATGGAAGGAAGCTAGGGTGATCATACCAAAACTTGAGATCAGTCCATCAAGTCGTTGACAATTGGACTGAGATATGTTGATAGTTGTATACTACATGGTTGAGATCCGCGTGAGTATTGTAGCCAGTGGTTAGAGACTGAATGACACAGCTCAAAATTGTTTGGAACGGCTCAGGTGCATCTGTTCTTCCAAATCTCCTATAGATTTCTTTGATTATATTGCACTACCTTATATGTTCTTGAATCGTACGTTCGATGCCTAATCATTTCTGTTATCATTAGAGCTGTTACTACCTCTAGTAGTCTTGGATTTGCCCTGACTAAATTATCTCTGTGTTAATGGGTTATATGCACTTGAACCGATGTACAAACATACATATGAGGTTTTACTTTATGAATAACGTATCCTTAACAAGAAATTTGTGCTACTCATATGGAACTATTTCATTCACTGGGAACAGTCTGTAATATTAATCTTAATGTATTTATCTCCGAATAAATCTGTTTTGGAATTTATTCCTCTGTTAACAGATGGGATCGTTGTTCACCTCTCTGTTAGCTTCTAATATATTTCCACATATGATTTCACCAAAACTTTTTGTTACAGTTATTAATGATTATGAAGGTCCTTTATCTCCTTAACCTATTTTTATTTATTACTTTAATTTTGTTACGATGAAAGCTATAATAATATATATGTTCATTTAATAAATTACTGATTTTCTTCTGCAAAATCGACATTTAAAAAAAATTCTACATTCATATCTGATACGTGTTTGCATGTACACGTAGCCATAATTTCTTAATACTATCTCTTAATGTTAGTTAATCTGATCTGTCTTCTTAGATCTAGTAACTTTCTTAAGTTGATTGATTCCATCATCATTACTAAACATTATCGTTTTTTTAATTCATCGAGATTCTTTTTAATTTCTAAAAGTTAATAACACATTTATTGAAACACCATTAAAAATCATGAAATATTGAACTACTGTATTGGAATTCTGAAACGATCCAAGTTAGACCATCGTTGAAAACCTGGAAGCACTAGACGACTGTTTCGTTCTAGTATGCGTTTCTTCGACAACACTCATCCACGAGCCTGCATACTGGAATCGAAACCAGGATTTTCGGCCTCACATGTGAACGCTTAACCTTTAAACCATTGACTCAGCATCCGACGGCGTTAGTACTAAACGTCGATCAACCTAGAGGTTAAGCGTTCGCATGTAAAAAAAGCATGTCTTGGTCCCGATTTCCGCATCCAGGTTTGCAGCTGCGCAATCCTTAGGAGCCCAATACTAGACCAAAATGGCCGTCCAGCGTGTTCAGTTTTACAATGGTTGTCTAACTTTAATCGGTCAATGATTTCAAAAAAATTCAACAGTCTCCGAAATACCATACTAACTCAATTGTTGTTAAGTTTTCTATAAGCAATACTAGGATACTAACATCTGTAAATGATAACGACAAAAACTACTGAGTAATCACATTTTGTTATAACTAGGATTTTCCAGTATTAACTATTATCTTAACAACCGTTGTTATAATGTAAGTCTTTGCAAATATAATTCAGTTGTTTTGTACACCACTTTATTATTCAAAAATCCATTAATTTTGAACCACTTTTGAAGAATTCCCAGTTAAGCTGGACAGCAAACATGTTTAATATATTTTCTTGGTTTTTTATTTTTAACGATCCTTCAATTAATACTACTTTGAGATGATAAAATGTAATAACGATAATCTTGAAACGGTTGTTCAAAATTCATAATGATGATTTCTACAAATCCTAACTTGTTAGCTTACATCTATCTGAATTTTGTTTATCAATTTCGCTTCAGATATCAAATGCTTTAAATTCAGCCGTATCAGTGGTTACCTCAAATTTTGTCACACCATTATTATCATCCTCGTCGTCCTCGTCAGTAGCACCATCATCATCAGTATCATCTTCAAACTCAATCAGAACAGTAAATGAGAGTATCGGAGATCCCCCTACTACCACATGAACCACTATTCTTTCTTTGTTTGATTTTTTCATTGTAACATCTTATTTTGTTGTTATTTTATTCTTTTTTTATGATCAATATGTCGTAGTAGAATTAACAATACAATAAGTTTAATGAGCAAAAAATGTCCGTTTATCTTTTTAATTTCTTCAAGATCATCAAATAATTAACTCTATCAATTCTACATATTTAAATTGAAATATTTAATATATTATAACATTGATATAATGAATTGTCTTTTTTGTGTGTATCCTTTACCTTCAAACAGTAATGATGATAATTGTTATTTGTTTGACCGACTGCTTTAGTTAATTCATTCCATTCAGTTTTTTTAATGAAGATTCCCATTATTACTTACATATAGATAATTGTTTTCTATTGAATTAAAAATATATATTACATCAGTACATAGAATACAATTTTCTTATTGCTGGTATTGTAGATCGTGAATTTTCTTTTTCTCAACTTTCTCACACCGTTGTTGTTGTGCTACTTATATCAACATAAGTAGTATATGTCGTGGTCAGGATTAGAATATCTGGCAGCAGAAGATTGATAGGATCCAGAAAGGAAGAACAGAAACAGAAAGCAATTAGTATGGGGATGAAGGAACAGTAAAGTCTGAGACAACTGATTGACATTTAAAAAGGAGCAGTCAAGTTTGATTAATATTTTGCAAATTAAGTATTTACTGTTTGATTCTCAGATTTTACCAAGATGTTCTGTAATTTTTGTGTTGAAATGCATCCGATTGTTTCCACTGATGTTTGTGTTCACCACAGTGTTGCTGTTATTTTATTCAGGAATTGGTTATGCTATTTGTCAAGTTGTAGTATACTTGGACGGTACCGTGGATCAATATTCCATTGTTTTTTTTATCTTTCTGATATTTTATGGTGGCAGATATTTCGAAATCCGGTCAAAGTAATACTTGTAGTAGACCCCTACTGAAGATGATATATAAAGTGTTCTTGAAACCTCTTTTAATGATGAGTCAATCTTTAAAACCAGTTGAACGAAAAACAGTAAGGATGGACAATTCATATCGAAAATACTGTCGATAAAATATTAATGTCAAGAATTAAGACTATGAATACTTATCTAAGTAATTAGTGATATGGAATACGAAAACGTGTTCGTAGTACTCAATGTCTGAACTAAAATGCTTTTAAAAATTAGATCATTAAAATAGTCCAAGACTTCTTGGTCCAGAATTTCCTAACGTTTTTATTTAATTGATTCAATAATATTTTACAAATATTGTGTAAAGTCTTTTTAAACAGATAAACTCAATTTGTATTTATTAGGTGACTTCGTATGTCTAAAATTAGTTATCTATAAGTAGATTTACTTTTGTGTAAAACTGAATTTAAAAGTTATTCTTTGTTCATCCTAGTTGCTTGTAAACAATGCATACTTATATGAGGGGCACGAACTAAGCCCATAAATTAAATCTTCGTGGATCGGAGAATGAGTGACGTACAAACTAATTTCCTCCGATCGCCCAAGACATTATGTGTATTTTATGTTAGTCTTTCGTATATATGCATTTTTTTTACAAAGTACTCTACTTCTGATCAGTAGTTTCGTCTTTGATTCCAAATCATTTGGGAGCTTGCGTCAACAACACGGTCTAGTGCACACTCTTCACATGATCAGATGCATAATTGCACATCATCGATGAATCAGTATTATACTCATTGATTATGACAATCGGAAATCCATTCTTACAATTGTGATCCATAGGAAGCACAAATGTGGATCGACCCATGGTAATACAACCAGGACCATCAAACCAATAAACTTTAGTCACAAAATCAAATCCAGTGAGGTTAAAGTTGTCATGCTGGTAGTAATGCTAAACTAAAATCAAGGAGAGTGGTTCATGAAGAACGAATGAGACTTGGAGTGAAAAGTACGTAATCATTAAACTCAAGTTAAATTAAGCATATCTACCACAATTCAGCTGATTTCAAATTATCTCCAATCATAGAGTATGATTATCTCCCTGGCTGTAACCAAAAGGTTTAGACATCCCTACACGGCTTAGATTAAGAATCAATGGCTTGATGGATTGTTTCTATGTCATGTCTCACTTTGGATAGCTCTGGTCTTTCAGCTAACAGGTGCCCTAACCAAAACTATTCAATCACCCGTCCCACCATATATGAACAGTGTTTCAGAGGCAGTATATATAAATTTCTGAAAAGTTATTTTTTTAAAATCGTTTATAATTGTATTAGAAATGAAGTAAACCAATTTTAAATTCGCTATCAAAAGTTTACTTACTATATTAACTGGACAACAACACCGATCTCTGCAACATACTACGATTTCCTTGTACATAATATTTCTATTCAGTAACAAACAATATTAAGCACATGTAGTCTACATTATCGTCAATCCACAAATATTTAAACAGCTTAAGTGTACAGTTCTACCTTTCCATTGTTTTATTTATAACAGAATTGATAAGTATCATTTGAAGTCAGCAAAAATGTTTATTAAATGCATGAGATTGATGTAGTTAAAAAAAAGTAACCAATAACTTGATTTGTGAAATCGATTATATCTACTAATTGTCCATGAAAAAAAGCCAGAGTAAAAGACTTATAAAGTACTAATTGTACAAGGCAATTTCAATTAAATGCAACTCGATGTAAATAAAAGCGGTTAATAAAATAAAGTACAAAACATGGTCCAAATAAATTATTTTCTGAAACGTCTACCATGATAAAAGGATTGTATATATTAGAGCAAAAAAAAGTATTCCAAGTTAAGCGCCAAATTTTGGACGGATTTTATCAAAATAAATCTTTTCTTTATACAATGCAGAAAATCTTGAAAGTGGTTGGTGTGAAGACTGTCCTTGGAGAGCATTGAGTATTGTATGGAATTCTGTACGTACAAAGTTGTAAAACTCTTGTTCAGCTTGCCAAATCGGATTGTCTTGATATATTTTAGTCGTTGCTTTACTAATTGGTAATTTATAGTTTGTGCGTCTTAGATGCCATTTATCTTTTGAACGAGATATTAGATTATGAGCACCGGTAAAGAATGATGGTAAGAGTAGTTCTAACAAGTTGACAAATTTATCAAATTCTTCTGTCAGGCCAACAATAAGATAATCTTCAATCACACGACGTTTAGCAGTTTCTAAAGCAACTGGATTACCAGGGATTCTGCAATACATTGCTTGTCCGCAGAAAAACGGTACCTTAGATATTCATAAATACAGTGAATCGATAGAAAGTTAAAATTTTGGATAATATACGTTTGTCTACTAATAATTTGATTTGGGCATATGTTTACTAAAGTTAAGACTACATATGACTGAATATATGTCTCAGTATCTACATCTTTGACGCATGTCAGTTTTTAGTTCTATTCAGCAAATGTCTGAATATTTTCCTATTAACAGACTCAGAATCAACTAAACTGATGAGCTGTGAGCCTACTTAACATAAATTATAGTCATGCTACAGAATAACAAACGTTCTAGCGAATGATATATATTATTTGTTTAACTATTAGTTCAGCAAAAGATTGATTGAAAAAAGTACTAAAAGATATGCTTCGAAGTAAATTCTTATTAATTTAGCTTACAAATAAGCTTCCTGTTAATATACTTTACCATATGTAAACCAGATTCACTTTAGCAATACACATTTATAGATTGAATAGCTGTTTGGTCTGAGAGTCTACTGCAAATCACAGTCAAGAAATCTTAACACTAGATAATATCTTGTAGAGAGTAGGTTTTACACCGAATAAAAAGGACTAGACAAAAATGACATTAGTCACTACTCAGTGATCAATCAACTGCACACTGAAGTGTTAAATTACGCGAACAATGCGGGGGTGATTTATATTAAAACTAATTAACTAGTGAGACTTATGCTACATCAGTACTATCCAGTCATGGATCTGGATACAATAGTTCTAACCAATGAAAAGTCAGGATTCTTCAATAATAACAAAGCAGATGCTTCCTCTAACAGACAAGGTATCTGGTATAACCTTAGTGCCTAGAGAAACGAATGCTCTGCTTGGAAGACCGCCAGAGAAACTATATAACACAGCTAAAATATATCGAGTGGTGCGTTCAAACTTGTTGGCGAACAACAGTGAGAATTTTCCGTGACTGGAATTAATTCTAAAGAAATACGTTATTTAACAGACCGACCAAATACTGTTCTTCTTGGTCTAGATGTGTTAGGAAAACTTGGAATAACCTATCAACAGTGCCTGTAGTGTGTCGTGTTCATCATTGGACACCTCGAGATCTGAGACAAGGACAAGTGGGAGCTCATTAACCAGTACTAACAGACGAAGTAAGAGAAAAAAATCTTCGAGACTCAGGCTGGACGGTCAGGAAAGTACGTCAATTATTCAGTCGTTTCCGAGAACTGCAAAGAGATTACATTACTGTCAGTATCAGGCAATGGTTTCGACAGTGTTGGTTAATCGAATGAGGGATTTAGCAGACAACCGACTTCGAAACAAAAAAGCTGGCTTTCGTAAGGACAGATTAGATAACGACGAAACCGCAAAACTGAGAATCGTTGTTAAGCAGTCTATAGCATGGAGCTAACCATTATAATTCAAATTCCTCGTTTCTGAGAAAGCGTTCGACAGTATAGAGTACCTGGAAAGATTTTCAGCGGCATACATAAATCCTTTGAAGGATTGCATTTGAAGTAAATACTAATGTTAGACGAAGTTGTATACTCTTGTCACTTCCATTTCTTCTATCTGTTGACTGAGTTATGAAGAGTTCCGCAGATCAGGAATAACACAGGGTGCAGTAACTTGGACTCGGGTGGATGAATTGGACTTTGCACATGACTTAACCCTGGTATCGCATACACAGCAACAAATGCAGGTAGAGAAAGCCAATGTAGCAGTACCTTCTGCACCAGAGGCCTCAAAATTCACAAGATAAAAAGCAAGATTATGAAGTATAGCACAGCAACCACCAACCAAATTTGGAAGTGGCAGAAACCTTTATGTACCCACCCAGCATCATCGATGAGCAACTTTCTGATGTAGATGTCAAAGCACGATGTGAAAAAGCGAGAGCAGCATTCCTATAATTGGGGATTATGTGGAATCCAAAAGAATTGTCACACAAGGGCGGAGTCAGTATTGTTTACACCAATGTTAAAGCAGCTCTACTGTACGGAGCTGAAAAGCGGAGGACAGCCACAACCAGCACCAAAAATGTACTGGTACTTGTGAACAGCTGTCTACACACGATATTCAAGATCTACTGGTCAGAGACAATCAACAATAATCTACTCCAATAGAGAACAAACTAACTGCCACCAGAAGTGATTGGGAAAAGACGCTGAGGGTGAAAGGAAATACTTCCGAACAAATAGTCTAACAAACTGAGCGCCGAGTATATAAAAGATATCAAATGGATGTATTATATTTGAAACAATCTCAATGATTGAAACTTGAGTAATTTCAACATTTTGTCTAGCAAACTGGTCTGAACTTCTTTAAGGTTATAATTAATCGCTGGAATGATTTTAAATACAGTTTTTCACGTTTAGAAATAAAAGTTGTTTACTTACTTGGACCCAGAGAAGTTGTGGACTACAATCACTACCATTTACAAGAACACATTCATCAAATGTTTGGTTGCGAGTCACAAGATCAAACATACGTTTACGTATCAGATATGGCCTGTAATCATCGCCGTATCGTAGAAAGTAATAATAAGACACTAATCTGTCTAACGGATTTCTTATCATATTAATATATATTGGGTTAAATAATGATCCATATTTGAGAAAATTTATATAAGCAAAATGCCCATGTATAATCAGTGGATGCATACTGGTCCAATGTGTCAGATTATCTATAAGATATAATTCATTTACACGATTTAAATAATGTTTATTTGAAGAAATGTTCAAGTGTATCACATGTGTATGACTGTAATTTTCTTCAATTAATTGATAGACTAAGTTTATTAAAGATGTACTACCTGTTTTAGGGATTCTGTTGTAAACAACAACTGGATATGACTTGATATTACTGTCCGCACTATGAGCATTATTGCTATTGACAAATGAATAATTATCTGTTTTTGAGAACTGTTTTGCCGACATAAAACAATTTGCATAATGATAATTTAGAAACCATTTATTAGCATAAAAGATAAAAGTCAGAAGTGATACACTACTGAATAATGAAAATAACACGAACAACCGACGATTTCGCAGAACCCTGGTAAAAAAATTATGATCAAAAGAGTTGTATGGGTTAAAAATGCATGTATGTAAGTGTGCCGTATATAATGCTCATATGCGTAAATGATAAATTATTGATAAATATCTACAACTAAGTATATTTTTAATGAATTGTTCATATACCCTAGAAACAACCGTGTAAAACCAGGAAGTACCGGACATCTGCAATTTCATGGCTGGAAGGGCTCACAGAACACTGACGTTTGTTAAAGTCTTTAACTTGGAGAACAAAGTTGTTTAGATGCTTTTAAAAGGTGGTAATATTCACTAGGACCGTGAAAAATTTATCTAACCTGCAAACACGAAGACACCTCAACCCGTTTATGTCATCTTACGAAAATATGAGGTAGACAAATACTAGTTTATGGTACTTTGAAAATATAAGGATGGTCATGGTATTAGTTCTTATTTCGTTATTTCATTAAGGACTAAACATTTGAGAGGACATTATAAAAGAATTCAAAAACCAAAGTCAAGTAGTTTACTCCCAAGTTTTTATTTAGAGCATTTAGTAATGAATTACTGTTATTATTTATCAGAACATATAACACTAGGAGCTTTAGATAGGTGCGTTCAAAAGTGACTGAATTTTCCCAGTTACAAACACAGAAGAGTAAACTCCCAATTTTATGACTAGTTTGAAAATTTTTGGGTTACTCTTGGGAAAGTAGTGATGGAAATTTCGGGTGACTTTCAGAAAGATGCGACTAAGAATCCCAAAATTTACCTGTGTAGGATTTTTCCAAAAGTTTACACAATATTTTTTGAAGTCAAAAACTTTTTAAAGAACTGACCCTAAATGCTCTGCTCCTGGGTTTTTGTCTATGAGACCAAACCGACCGTCTTTAAGGATGTTAAGGATTTGGTAAGACTACTAGTCATGGATGGCCTTAGAGTCAAGTACTTAATATAATTCAATGAGTAGTGAAGAACATTTGATTAGTGTTTGGTGTAGCGAGATAATATTATTTATTTTAAACTCACCTTAATTTTCTTGAGTTTCTGAGCAGAAGAATGAAAAAGCATCATAGCTAATGTTAGATAGTGATTAGAAACTCGGCCCCAATTTCCAAACCTGACTCAAAACTCAAGCTTAACTGGTAGCACCTAACTCTACCTTTCTTGCACTACAACTAATGCAAGTCGGTGGCGAAAACTCTTTGCAGTGATAACTCTAACTCGACACACTAGCATGACTTTTAATATCTGAAATTAATTCAGTTGACTGATCATTTTCTTTAACTACAAAGGATATGACATTCCAATCTTATTATGTTGGGGAAAACTTCAGACATTCTGGGTAAATTTTAGGGAAGTCTCAGTAGGGAACTTTGAGGAAATGACAGAAAAACTCAAAACTTTCCGCAGGTCAGGGGAAAATCCCCAAAATATTGGTGGAAATTTCCGGTTTTCTCCAATCAATTGGAGAAATTAAATAAGCGTGGATGGCGATTCAAAGAAAAAGGTGAACTAAATCAACTTTAGGTCTATGATTAAATACCGGTTTATGTGTTTATATTAGTTTCTGATAAACATTTATACTGAGACAATTACTTCTTGCTTTCAGCCGGTTTTGCAAGTGTTAACAGTCGTAACTGTAAGTCTTTTAATTCAGAATACAATTTTGTTATACCGTTGGTACGTAAGCAACCTTTTCCATGGCATTTAGGAGTCACAAGTTGGATGATTCCCATGACATGTTTGTTTAGCTTTTTTCTCTTGGAAAAACATTGTGAATGAAATTTCAACATCTACTCAACGTTCTTCTCCGAAACACATGAACAGTTATTAGGTATTGAAAGACCTTATGTACTAATGGATAATTTGTACTCTATTGAACTTTAATAAACATTTATATGTGCGACGAACCAGTCTTTTGATTACCACAATGCCAATTTATCGCGACAGATCGGCTCTGGTTACCAGTTGTAGATAGACTGCTTTAGCACGATGTTAACTAAGTGAAATCGACAGGAAAAAACAAATGGAATAAATTAGTAGAAGCTTTTGTGTACTTATTATCAAATCGCTAGTCATTCCGTTGATATGTCAAAAATTGCGTAAAAACGACACATATGGAAGTCTTTCCCCAAAAGTTACCTCAATTTCGAGGTTTCACTACAAAATGTAGATGGATTTCCCCGGTGTTATATGATTCTAGGGAAACATAGAGGAAAAAAACTTAAAATTTAGTGAATTTTTCCAGATCTGAAAAACTTTTAGGGGTTTAGCACCATCTCCTTAGAATTCTCCCCAAAATTATCAATAGCAACTTTTTCGAAATTTTCCCGAAACGGATGAAATTTTCCCCAAAATATGGAGATTGGGATATTTCACCAGAATTTCATAACACTTTGAATTTTTTCCCTAAAAATCCCCCAAACTTTAGGAGAAATACCAGATTTCCTACGACCTTGAAGAAAATCTCAAAGCCTCTTGCGGAAAAAGAAGCTGCATAGTATGCTCACCTTTCAATAACTACCAAGGTGTGAACTTTGAATAGCCTTGACAAGCCGCGCAAGTTCATTTGACCGCTTAACAGTTACTTGATATTGAACCCACGTCTGTCAGTTTTTTATTCACTAGTTAAATAGTTACATCACTCAGATCATGCCAGATGAAAGAAATCTTGAGCCACATAAAAATTTTCAAGCAACAGCCTCTAAAGGAGGATGTCTAGTCAAATGACTACGTCTGTCACATTATCGGATTCTGAAAAAATTTAGCTACAAAAGTAATAAAAACATAAGCAGTTTTTCGTTAGCTAACTCCCGATAAAAAGATTTACAGATAGTCCTTAATATTTAATTTTTCACATTACGTGCAAGTCATTCCGACTATTTTCAAGTTTATCAACTAGCTTCATTAGCGAACAAGATTCTAAAGGCCACCTAATGTCGCCGCTTCTTCTCATGAAAACTGTCCTGCCAGTACATATAATTAGCAATTGTATGTAGTGAATGAAGCCGTCTATAACATGGCAAGTACGAAGAAGAAAGTTTGCTATCTCACTGATACTCTCTTAATAATTAGCCTTGTAACAAGATTCTTCGTATATTTCTAACTCTGAACTGATTGAAACAAGAATACTCTGCCCGAATTTGTTTTGGGATGACCATAGCTTATCGGGAGCGAGTCGTTGTGTTTTCGAAAATGCAGTTGGACTTGTAAATGCGATGTAGTAAGCAACAGTGGTGGTTTCACACAGTAATTTGGGCCGCTTCCGGTTCAGATCAAGGTACCTGCCGAGTATGCGTTTACTTTATGTAGCACTCGATTTTCACTTTACCACTTGTAAGTTGAAAACTTATTTGTGCAGTCGGTCTTCAAGATTTGCGGGAAGAACGCTGACTTCTCCAATGTCAACGAGATAGAGAAGTTTCGTCATTACATTAGTTATGTACATAGGACAGCTACGTTCGCCGACTACGATTGCCGCTACCGAGTGCCAGCGTGAAACTTTCTCGAAGGAATTTTCGTACCGCACAGTTCGAAGAATTGGAAACTGAAGGATCTCCAGCAATTTCCAGAAGATCTATAGTGCTCTTAGGTAACCCTCGTTCTGTTGATAGACGAAACCAAACTAGTAGTGAATAAGTGTTTATTTAGCTCGTAGGACAGTCATAACGGAGCGAAAGGTTACCCGTTCAAATACATAAAACTTTTCAACATTCAAAATAAGATTATAGGAAATAAAGTGTCTATATGAAATAAGAAAGTGAATGTGTACTTGAGCTCTATTGTTTTGAAGTATACTTAGTAGCTTGAGGTCAACTTCTAACTAATCAAACTATGTCGTTACAGACTTACTGAGAAAAATCAGGATTACCTGTGTCTCGTTTTCTGGAGACCGATCTTTTACGTCGTAGTCTTCTTCGGAAATTTCGAAGTGTCTGTGATCATGATGAATATTCAGATAAAGACTAGGAGTTTAAAAGGGATCTGTAACATCATTATATTTTTCTTTGACAGAATAAACTTCGGAGTTAGGGGTACGGGCGATCTCCAGAATCTCGTAGACAGATTCAGGAAACTTGCCTATAACGTTATTCTGGAATGAGACAAGGACTGTCTGCACCTTTCGCAGAAGCTTAGACAGGAAGGTTTGTCTAAAAAAGCCCTCGTCATAGGTGCGTTGACTAATGACCTCAAGAATATGTGGTAACATTTCTGTCGCTGAGTCATGTTGCAGCTTGATGCTGAGGAATATTTGATCCAACCTTTGTCCGTCAATTGGTTCTTTATGTTTAAGGATAGCCTCCTTTGAAGTATCGTAAGGTTCCAAAACATCACTAGTAAACATACTAGATGTGACGTGCCTGTTAGTGCCTTCACTACCAACAGGAATTATGCACTTGGGTACATCACGCCGTATTCGTGGAAGTCATCCTTTGCGTAGCAGAACCAGGCTTCAATATTATCGGGCCATAGCGTAATGATCATATGTTAAACCTCAAAATTTAAGGTTCAGGATAAGTTCTACTTTTCCTCAGGCTACAGACCTTCCTCGACAAATATCGTCAGATTTATGACTTTTCGCTGACGGTGTAATACACAGGATAGAAGTTTTCAGCGAAGATAATAAGCTGACACTTCAGGAGGATTTGACTCTACTTCTGAGTTCAGCAGACATTAATGGACTTGACTCAAACTCTTCGAAATGCAAAGTAGTTTATCTGAGACACGTTGTAGACTACGAATACAACTAAGGTAACTCCTCTCTAGAGGTATCTCAGGTTGAAAAGATCTGCGAGTGTTGGTACCCTATAATCTGCAGTCATATGCTATACTGAGATAAAATGTGTTCCGAGCCAACATTGGATTACTAACGTTGAACCGCATTGTCGGCCAGTTTGACGGGAAAAATTTCCACCCAATCTTCAACTGTTTTATTCTACTCCACTTGGAGCATGGAATTGCAATGTTACTACCTCACTCCAGAAGGATAAAGACACACCGGAACGTATTCGAAGGCGAGGCGCGAAATCAGTTTGGGGAGTCAAATCTAAGTCTTATGATGAGCGTCTTCACTGAACTTCTACCCATTAAAGTACAGACATCTTAGAGGTAACCTTTTGATGGCATATAGCATCCAAAAGACTTCTGATCGTCCTCTTTAACACCTACTTAAGCTTAGTCTCAACATGAACCTTATGGTTAACATCCAGGAACTGGGGACACAACACAGCAGAAGGGATTGTGAACACATATTCTGCATCTTAAGAGTGGTCAAATTTTGGAATTCTCTGGCAGCTGAACTGGTCCAAGCGACTTCCCAGGAGTCCTTTAAGAGAAAACCAGACATGTTAGTTGTGACTTTATCAAATAAGAAGGCCGTATGCCAATTCTCTACGATTTTTTTGTCCGGCTTTTAACACGTGATTAATCCACCAATCGGAATACGACTTGTCTAATCTTAACACTGTGCTAAATCCATGAAGTTCGACCAGTATGAGTAGTCTAGTGTTCTTATTGGTCCTGTAGCTGTAAATAATTCCCCAAAATCAATAGCTCATTAAGTGTTCGACATTGGATGCTGACCACGTTGTTTAAGTGGACTTGTTTAGCTGAAGGCTTTCGGTCATGCATCCGCACCAGATCACGTTTCAATACTGCGTGGGACACAGCTCCTACGTTTCATTAGCCAGCTCATAGAAAAGGTCCTCGATATATTGGTAACGAATCAAATATATCTTTCCTGCCTCCTCTCGTCTGACTTCTGATTTCTATCTGACTGGGAACGACCGAACATAGAAGGTGCTACTGGTATCCAGTTGTAAAACTAGAATATCCGTTGCATCATCATTGGTGAACCCGACGTGATCTGGTACACCAAGTCAATATACTGTGAGTCTGTTCCATTTTGGAATATTATTATTTATTGTTATTCTTTATTTGAATTTTATATATTGTGATATACCTTTTTTTTCTCAGATATATTTTACTTAGACATTTTTCGATATCTATATTACTATGACGGAACACTCTCCTAAGGTTCTTAAGTTTAAGTCTATTCCCCCTATTTCGATTCAGTTAACGCCATTTTGGCCCGACAATATCGAGTCCTGGTTCTGCTATGCAGAAGCCGATTTTAGCATGCACGGAATCACGGACTCGCGCACACGTTTCCTCGCGGTAGTTAAGGCGTTACCGCGCGAGTTTAACAGGTACGTAACACCTAGTATGTTCACTAGTGATGTTTCCGAACCTTACGAATCGCTTAAGCTATCGATTTTAAAACGAGGAGACCTAACTGATCGACAACGGTTAGATCAACTCCTTAACAATATCGACTTGCAACATGGTTCTGCGACGGACATGTTGCTTAGAATGAGAGAAGTCATCGGCCAACGAACTTTCGATGATGGCCTATTTAGACAACTTTTCTTGTCTAAACTCCCTCAACAGGTGCAGGCAGTGCTTGTTTCATTTCAAAACAATGCCATAGATGAACTAGCTGCATCTGCCGATCGAATCTTGGAAATCACTAGATCTTCTAAGGCCGAGGTTTTTTCCGTCAAAGAAAAACCCCAATCGACCTCGACTGACATGGCCGAACTATGTCACACGCTTACACGATATCTTAGAGTTCGCAATGACCGTAGTCGGTCAAAAACCCCGCGTAGAAGCGCCTCACGTAAGCTATCTGGCTCTCGACCACGAGAGACAGACAATCCCGACTGGTGCTGGTATCATAACCAGTACGGAAAGTTTTCCAGAAACTGCAGGAAACCTTGCAATTATCCGACCCCAAAATCGAGTGACACGAAAAACAGTTCGGGAAACTTCCCAGCCGGCACGCGTTAACGGCAACCGTAGCCGGCGAACACAGCCGCCTCTTATATGTCACGGATGTGACTACGAAAGTTCGCTACCTCGTCGACACTGGCGCAGAAGTTAGCGTTCTTCCAGCAAATCTCGACGACAGACTTCGCGAGTCTGTTTTAAGTTTACAGGCGGCAAACGGAAAGCCGATCGCTACTTACGGTAAAAGGTACGTCTACCTTAACGTGGGTTTACGTAAACCCATACACTGGATTTTCGTGGTTGCAGATGTCTCTATGCCAATCATTGGTATTGACCTGTTACAACACCACAATCTACTCATCGACACACGCGCACGAAGGTTAATAGACGGAAACACTAAGTTGTCCGTTTGCGTAACTCCTTGTTCTGGTTGCAGGTTATCCCCAGTCACGATTAAGCACGCCACAGACCCCTTGTACCAAGCAGTACTCGACAAATACCCCGGGATATACCAATCGCAATCGAAATTACCTTGTGTAACCAGCAATGTTACACATCACATCTCGACTACAGGACCACCTGTATTTTCGAAAGCTCGAAGACTCGCTCCCGAAAAACTTAGGTTAGCTAAAAACGAATTCAACCACATGATGGACCTAGGAATAATTCGACCATCGAATAGTCCATGGGCATCCCCATTGCACATGGTCCCTAAAAAGGACAGCAATGATTGGCGGCCAACTGATGATTATCGGCGTCTGAATGCTAAAACCATTCCCGATCGTTACCTGCTGCCTCATATTC